TTATTCCAAGCAGGGGAGCGCAGAAATGCAGTTTGTTTGAAAGTAGAACATCTTTTTTTCCACCCTGGGGGAGAAGGGGCTCTAGCAGTCGCAAACATCATTGAGATGAGGATGGTCCGTTTCATGATCGGTCTTGTACGGATTGACAGCCTCCTGGCACTGTGTTTCTGCTGGGGTGTCTATTTCTCTCTCTGGCATTCCTGCTCCAGGGAGAAAAGGAGGGAGAAGTCGGTTTTAAGCTCATGAATACATCCATGCTTACCTGTATAGCCCTACTTGCACACCAAAATAGCATGCCTAGCTACATGCCCTTGGAGAAATCATTAATGTGATGAAAAGAATCGGTTGTTTTCTTTTCCCTTTGTGCCGAAAGACGCCGGAGACTCACGGAGGCACTCCGTGATCCTCTCCTCAGGGCGTGTTTGGCAACGCGAGCGGCGGCGTCCCGCTCAGTGCCTGTCCCGTTTCCTTCCTCTCCTGCGCGTGCTCCTCTTGGCGTCGGTGGAACGTGCTGGGCATGCCGGGAGAGCCGCTCTCCCAGTGGACCCCCGAGCAAGGCCTCGTGCTGGAAGGAAGCACGGTGAAACCCGGTGGGGGAGTCTGCCGTTCAGGCCCTTTGCCACAACTGGTGGGTGACCAGGGCGAAGTCTGAGTTGGGGGGGACTGGCTGTGAGGCTCATGCCATTGAAGCACTTGTGGCTTTGCACTGATTGGCTGTATATTCCCTTTTTTTTTGTTGTTTTCTTTTGAAGAGTTTCAGAATGGGGGGAAAAAAATCATCTACCCACTCCACACGTCCGCTGAGATCGAACGCGTGTCTTCTGTCTTCTGTGGCGAGGCGCGCATTCCCTTCCACTTTCCCCTCCGTGATATTTAGGCTACGTTGCTAAAAAGGAGATGGGTTTGTTTTGGAGACGCATGCCGTCGATCCGCAACATGCCGAAAGGCTTCTTGCCAGACGGTTTGAGCTTTAATGGCAGGGTTCGTCTTCCCCGATTCGAGGAAGATTCTGCCAGATGCGTTCTAAGACCAGTTTGGTTAGTGTCCTTTTTCAGCCAGGCTGTTCAACAGTGTTATTCCGGATGTTTAAGCCATTTTCAGGCTCTGTCCATATTTAGAGATTTTGATTTTGTCTGTGTGGGTTTTTTTTTTTTTACTGCTTACACGGAACTGTGCTGACCACAACCCCAGGGTACAACAAATAAATGTTGCATTTCCTGACAATGCCTTGGCGTTTCACAGCAGCTGCTCCTTCCTGTTATTACTGTACCTCCTGGACCTCTTCCATACAGACACTGACAATTACGTTAATTTGTGTCAAATTGCGGGGCTGATCTGCGGTGCAGACTACTGTCCACCGGGATCTTAGCTGTGACCGCCGGGCTTATTTTAGGAGTGCCCTTTGGCCATGTGAGGTTGGCTTTTAACATCGGTAGAACCTAAAACGAGAGGCCTTTCTGCCCATCAAGCCCGTTTGGCAGTCGTTAATTAATCCTAGGATTTCATACTTTCCTTTCTTGAAAGGAGCTCAAGTATCTGCTTTATTAACGTGGCTGTTCCATGTGTCCGTACTTATGCAGCCTTTTGGGTAAGGCAGTGCCTCCTCTTCATCGTTTTACATGCATTCCAAGTAGTTCCTGCCAGTGCTGTCCTCCGGTTCATGTCTCCCTGTGCTTTGTATAGACGTTCTAACCCAAGGCTGTAGAATGACCTTTGCTGTTTTTTAGATGTAGCCTAGGGGGCGCTGTCCATGGCCCTACACACCACGGGACTGGGGTGAGGTACTAGTGAGAAAACTGTGGAGTGAGCTCTGCTCACACTGGCCCTTCCCCGTAATCACTGGGGCAGTCCTGAAAGGCTGCCCAGGGTCTGCTGTGTGCATTATGACAGATGTTGGAGAGCAGGGGAGAGATGCATGCCAGATATTTGAGTAAGAGACGGCTTTCACTTTCACATGTCCACATTCCCAGAGGCAACTTACTCAAAGCTCGGGGATTAGAAACATCTTCTTTCTTGCACAACGTCTTTTGTTAGTTTCAACTTTTAGGGGCAGACAGCTCTGCACGTACTGCAGCGCGTTCTGCTGTTCACTGTGAGGTGATCAAGGTATAAAGGGATTGGGGGGGGGGAGGACTCTGGACTCTGCCGATCAAGGTTTTCACTCCTGAGCAGTTGGGAAGTTGAGCTGGACAAATGACCTTCTTGACAGGTCACAGCAAAAGCTTTCCCGATCGTTATAAACCCAGTGACGCGAGGTTGGGCTCTAAGACATTCTCTCGCTTTGGAGAAGTAGTCGTCTCTGCTATTGTGTCTCCTGTTTATTGCACCTGCCTGAGAATCGCAGGCTGGCTATAAATCATGCCTTCTCCTCGGTAGTTTGGACTGTGTACTCGTAGTACAAGCTCTTTTTATACACAAAATGCCGAATTGCCTTCTCCGCCTGGTGGCCTCGGAGTCCGAGCTGTAATTAAAACATGTTGCCCAGCACTGCCGTTTATCTCCGTCTGCTGTTGTAAATGTCAGTTGCACCAGAAAACCTGAAAATTGGGAGATATGTGGTAAATGGCATGTCTGCACCTCGCCAGTTCTGAATATATCATACTGTGATGCAGAGCTGTAAAAAGTGTTTTAAAACTGTCGGAGTATCTGTTGGCTAAAAAGGAGCTTTTCCGTCACTTGGTATGTTGCTAATATACCTGCATTTGCGAGGTTTGTTTTGACGGCAAGTGGCATACTGTCAATGTTCTGTTGCAGAGACGGACGTGATGCATTGTTTCAGTTGCTGTGTCTGCACTTAGCCTGTGGCTCTGCTGATTTGAAAACTGAGCTACTGGCTAACAAGCTTTCTAGAGCCGCCAGCCAACCTGTGGCAATGTTGACTGATGCTTTTTATTAGCACTGTAGACTTCATGCTTCCTGTTTGACATTTTTTTTGCCTTTTGTCTTTCATAATCAATTAGAGAATTTTTTCTCAAAAGGGGTGGGGAAAAAAAAGTCTGGTACAGATAGAGGTGCAGGAGCACGAGTGCTTTTATCTCTTGTTGGCGACGGTCGGGTCTGGCACAGGTCAGGGCAGGTTCAATTAAGGTCATCACCCATGTGGATTGTCTTTGCCAGTTTCCCAGCTCAGAAGGATGGCTGTAAGATCAGTGCCAGAAAGAGGAAACCCTATCATCTTGTAATCAGCCCTGTCAGGGGCACTCAGACCCGCCAACAATGGGCATGAACAGTGAGCATCCAGGACCTGACATGGGCCAGCCCACCAGCCACCTTCTTTCCCCTTGCCAGATTCCCAGGAGGGTCTGAGGTTGACTGAGGTTCACTGAGAGTCTGGCCAAGGGTGAGAGGGAAGCAAGGAGTCAGGCCAGCGGACTCTGGCTGGAGCCCGCACTGCCATTAAGCAGGAATCCAGCAGTTCTGACAAGACCAGACAACTGTGGCCTTCTGGAGCCTCGTGTGGAATGTCTTGGAATCCCTCTGAAGTTCTGGAGTTTTATTTAGAGTGTGGTGGGGACGACCGTAAAACCTTAGAATGTATTCTCTCCCCCCCACCAGTGGAATTTTGCTTTTTGTCTGTCTGCAAGGATGTAATCCCATTCCTGTCTCTTCCAGCCCCCTGCGCAATTCAAAGATAACCCTTCCTAAGTCAAAGCTGAAGAATGATTCCCCCCCCTTTTGAAAGTGTCTGCAGAAGGTAGCGTTGATGCCTGAGCCCCCGTGCTGAGATAGTACCGCAGTAAAAGAGGAGCTCTTCCTGGAAATGATAAGCCGGAAGATAAGAAACCAGCATCGCGGTGTGGCCTGAACCTAAGGAATGCACATGCAGCTTGAGTGCAGAGACCCGTCACGTGAACGGATTCTTCCCCGGCCGTCTTTAATTGACATAAATTACGCCACATGGTTTCAACACAGCTCTTGATTGAGATGTGCAGTGATCTGGCAGCCTGCTAAGACAAAGGCAGAGGGGGAAGGCTTTGACCTCTCGAGCTGCTTTATAACTAGAGGGAACAGCGTTCTGTACTCTGCTTTTAGGCAGTGCTCCAAGCCAGAGCCAGGCTTTGTTGATGGATTATTGGTGTATACTGCTACTCCCAAAGCTTTTAGCACACTAAAGGCTAGAACGATCTCTTATACATTTAATAATTTAAAGTTACTGTGCAGTGGAAATGGTTATCATTCTTTGATCTTGTTGTTCCCTACAATAGGCCTGTTCTGGTCTTGAATTATTCAGGGTTGCAGGACTATTTCTTTTTTTTTTTTCTGTTGGGTATTCTTGAGCTAGAAAGACTAAGAGTGCCTGTAGGAGCACATCATCACTGTATCGCTGTTCTTCAGCCAACCAGATTAGACTCTTCTTGGTCCATCCACTGGTGTCTCTGAGGTCAGGAGCGGACCACTTTGCTGACCTTATGCAGTTCATCTGAATGTCCCTTCGTAGATCTGTCCCAACTATCTGTAGGACTAACCTTACATGGTAAATTGCTTGTCCATTTTAATATTTTATGCAGTTTTGCCTAGCATGCTTTTTAGAGTAGGGGATAGAGACTTAGATTAATGCTCAAATGGCTTAGGTCCAAGAGTTCTCCCCCCCCCAACATTTCAGGTCATGTTTTTTTAATAACAAAATCCCTGTCCTAAGGAACGGGTGAAAGAGTAAACAGATGAGAGAAGTTCTTTGGAGAAAATAATTTGCTGTTGCAATGCGTTTTTGACACCAAAGGGTGACATGAGTTTCGGAGGTTCGAACGTGTGATTAATATAATGATCGTGTTGGAAACTAATCCACATGTTTTTTTTCACCTGGTCCCGGGCTGGTGCTGTGTGAGATCTGGTATCTGAGACTGCTTTTGTTGTACAATACCAGCACCTTGTTTATTTGTCTAAGAAACATGATTGTCTGTATTTCTGAATATTAACATTAACAGCAATGAAAAAGCATTACAGTCCTTGTAGGTCATCCCCAAAATGTCTCAAGCGTTTCTTCTCTGTTTCTGTTGCAGTTTTGTGTGCAAAAAACCTGGTGAAGAAAGACTTCTTTCGTAAGTAACATTTTAAAAATACATATTTTGTGCAGCATGTTGTACAGGAATTATTGACTTATTGGGACTTCTGCAATTTTTTTAATCAAGAAACACTTGATCAAAGTTCAAACTTAGGTCTCTTTTGATAATCAGATGTTCCTTGAAAGAAGGCAATCGCCAAGTACATCTATGACATGTAGTTCACAAGGTCATGCAGACTCACTACCAGTAAATGAAAAGGTTAAAATCATATCAGATGTCTCGGAGAAACTCAAGACTTTCTTTTTTTAGCAAAGCATAAAATCTGATATCAGGGCATGCACTATGCCCAGGACTAGACTCCACACTCCACAATGAGAGACTTGGTTCATCTTAAAAAGGTTTCACTGTACAGCTCTTTTCAAAAGGAGCATCAGTGTTTAGAGAACTGAGATCTGGAGAGTCCAACACCCAACAAAAAATGGGTTAAATAATTTATATTCACAAAAAAGACAAAAGCCTCGTCTTTTTTTTCCCCACTCTTTTTTTTACTCTTGAGTTTTAATCACTTTTACTAGCTGGGAATTTTGGGATTCCCTGTTGGAGGTTTTTTTTTTTCTATTCGCTGGCTGGAATGCATGGGACGTATGGTCATGACTTCACTCTGTTCTCTTTGAGCAACCTGTTTCTGTGAGGTAGCTAAGCAACCAGAAAGCAAAGGTTCTAGTAGGAAGTAGCTGCAATAAAACCCATTCCAGTGTAAACTTTTTTTCTTGGTGTCAAACTAAAAAAAAAAGCACACAGTCTTCTAAATGGTTATCAATGGTCTTTTAAAGCAGTTTCCCAAATGCTTGGTTGCACTGGAGAGGTCCTATTGTATGTTGACACCTGCAAAATTAATAGAAGTTAATGAATTTCTCAGTGTTCGTCTACGTGTGTTTTTGCCAGCACTTTGTGAGTTGGCACTTATATATATATTTATTATTATTATTATTATTATAGCCATATTACTCATAGCAGTACAGAAACAGTCAAGATGCTAGTGGGTCTGATAGTAATAACAGTGCAAGTAGTATTCATTCTGGTATTTGTAGTAGTAGCAATGGTAATATTCACAGTAATGTCATTAGAGTAGTAGTAGCCGTGCTGTCGGCCTGGGAACAGTAGCATTGTGAATGGTAGTAGTGGCAGTAATTGTAGAACCGGAGCAGGTTTGGTAATAGCAGGTGACTGAGTGGTGGGGCGTCACTGCGCCCATGTGATCCGAGATCTATCCTTATTCTGTCCACTTTGTCCCATTGTCCGACACGGAATAAAAAACGGCATTTTGTATTTATTTTGTTTTCAATACGTCCTTTCAGTTCTCCGTGCCAAAAATGACTGCAGAAGACAAATCCTTGTTTAGATGCACAGAGGAGGAAATTCCTATGTGATGATGAGGGCAAGGCAGATCACAGGCCAGGGCAGTCCGACAGGTTTTTCCTGCCCTGGGACACAGCGTCATAATGGCCCGAGGTCGCTGTTATTACACAAAACTAAACACTGCTACCTGTAACAGAGATACCCCTGTGTCTGACTGCAATTTATTCTTGATTGCATTTCCTGCAGAGCCAGAAAACTGTCCTTTGTCCGTTTATTTTAAACAGAACTTTGGTCTCTCACCCCAACATTCACAATGTGCAGCATTCTTAGGTCTCCATGTGGCAAAATACTGTTCAAAAAGCTGGTTGGTTGGTTCGGTTTTTAACGAAAAAAAAGTCGCAGCTGTTTCTGCTATTGAAGCAATGCCTGACTTGACGTGTGTTTTTGGTATGTTACAATCATTCTGGTTGGTCATGCCCTGGTTGGGTGTGCAATGTGCTGTTTGTTATCTTGCTTCGTGATGAGCCCATCTGGCAGTTCCTGATCTGCAGGGGGCATTCCACAACCTAGCGGTCTGTGCCAGGAAGGGCTGATTTCAAACCCTGCACCTGAAGAACTTCATTCACCACTCCTGTCCATGAGCAAACCAAACACGGCTACATCAACAGACATTTCATTGCACCTGTGCATATGACAATAAACTGAGCTGAACAGCCGGCCCAGTAGTTAAAACTGTGAGCTGTTAATCTGTAGAGATGGGCTCTCCTGAGTGTGCCGTGCTGATGTGCTGTGTTGGATCTGTGCACCCAGGACTTCCCGACCCGTTTGCGAAGGTGGTGGTGGACGGCTCGGGACAATGCCACTCCACGGATACGGTGAGGAACACCCTCGACCCCAAGTGGAACCAACACTATGACCTGTGAGTGATGTTTTTATTTTAATTCAGCCCTTCACTTGCTTCATCTGTGTCTGTCCTCTCTGGAATTTCTCCCTGAAACGCCATGCTCAGTGTGGGGCTGGAGTTTCCCCATGGGCGTAATATTTTCTAAAACGGTGCTACGTGGCTGAACGCTTTCGTTCTTTAAAATTACCGCTGGCTTCATAATTGCAGTCAAAGAGGTCCAATAGGAGGGCTCTTAATGGAAACAGGTGAAAGGTCACATAGTTCTTTTTCATCGTCAGTCCTAATGTGGGCCCTTTGCCCAGAAAAGTGCTTTATTTTTAAATTGCTGAGCTGTGGTACCATTTTTTTGGTATTGGTTCAGGGAGTGCCACACTAGGGGTTATGTCAATGTTCGTCTAGATAATGTTCTAAAGGTCTGTTTTGGTCTCTACCTGTTAGCAGCACCTGCCTTAATGGTTTCAGTTTGCCCAGTCAGCCTGAGGGCTTTTCACTATGGAGAAAAATGAGTTGAGTTTTGAGCTTTGACCATGTGATAGGGAAATTAGGTCAGTGTTTGCATTCGTGAATGGCATTGTTGAGCTTTTGCACTGAGCACATCCAAACAGGAGCCATAGCGATACACACCTCGAAAGGCAAGAAAGCTTGATGTGTAATGAGGAACAGCTGTCCATAGTTCCAGTTGGAATCAGGATGGACTTTCGCTGCTGAAGTGTCCGTTTAGTTTCCTTACAGCATGCAGAAAAAAATGGGTGGAATAAAAGCACCAGCTGTACTTCTGCAGGTGCTGCGGTGTTTGTTTTTTTGTGTGAAAGCAAGTTTTTCCCCCGTAATGTTCCCAAGAAAAAGAACCAGTGCTTGCATAGACTGTCACTTGAAAGCAAAGAGCAGTGATTGCTAAATTGAAAAGCTTTGTCTCTCTTATGGTAAAGACAATGTCTTGCTGTGCATTTTGCGTGGCCAGAGACTCGGCTTAGATTTGTGGTCCACGTGCTTTGTGAGACATGCCACAGAGACTTGCGTTTGTGAGGTGTGCAATCTCAATTACAGAGCGAGAGCTGCGTGCTTTACAGAAGGCTGGCTGTATCCAGCATTCACCCCTCGGCGTCTTAAGAGAAGCCCCTTCGCTTGCAGTGGAGGTTCTATACTGGGGCCCATAAAGAAATAAAGTATCCTTCAAAGACGGTAACATTTGAGACACGGGGTTTGTGAGGACCGGCAAGACTGTCCTTCAAAAGGACAATCACTTTTTTGAAACCACACGGCTTCTTCCTGAAGTGCCACAGCGATTTGTCTGGTCCCACGTCCAGCTGGTTGTGAGTAGAGTAGTGAATCCAGAATGCGAGTCGATAAGCTGTCCCCGCAAGTACAGAAATTGAAACGAGCGTGTGTCGGTCTGCCAGGGTGTGGTAGAGACTGGAGCGCTGGTGTACTGGAATAGCTCGTGCGTCATGGCGCTGGTCCACCGGAGCACTGTGGCTAAGGGAGCGGACTGCCTGTGACCTCTGACCCGCACGCTGTCACAGGAAATGACTCGCATGCCAGGAATAATAGAGGGAGTCTTACTGGCACACAGCCATCTCCCTGTACATAATCCAGGAGAAGCAGACTGCGCTGTGCACAGAAGCTCTGTCAGTAGGTGCCCTCCACCTTTTTTTTTAATAACTTCACACAGACTAAATAGTCCTGCGTAGGTACCCCAGCACCTGTGCTTTAAATGTTATCAAAGATTTGCAGTCAGCCGCACATGACGTGCGTGAAAAGGACTTTGTAGATTTTTTTTTTTGTTGGTTTGCTCGAGGAATTATTGATTTTATGAGAAACGGCATTTTAATATGATGGAATTCACCTGAGAAGAATTCAGCGCTGCTCCTTCGTATTGCTGTTTTACTGGGTTGCAACTTCTTTAGCAAGCAAAAAGCTTTTGGGTTCACTGACTGAGAAGTCCAAAGTGCCCTGAGTAAGGGGAGTTTGTTTCTCATGAAATCAGCCAAGAGCTGAACGCATTGGAATAAGGTTTGTTTCAGGAAAGGTCAGTTCCTCCAGATCTGGCAAATACCCCTGACAAAGGCCCTTCATGACCCACTACAACTCCCTCAAATCCCAGACAGCCTAGGGACGCGTCACACAGGTGGCGGTTTTGTCCCTCAGGATGATGTGGGTTGTTGGGTCTTATAAAGTGACCTGGGTTTTTAACTTGTGTGATATTTTTACCTTTTTTATCTGCGCATTTTACAGACCCTTTTTTGCACATGATCATTTTAGTGAAAAAAATTAAAGCATTACAAAATGTAAACAATGCCTGTTATAAGCAGTTAATTATTGTGAGAGAAGTCTGGTATTTGATTTTACAGACAACATTCCCCTTGAGCAGTGTTCGTCCGTTAAATCTGAATTCCATTAAACCGAGTTGTTTACTGTACGGTGGTTTTTATAGACTTGTTTGAGAGTAATGTGCTGTTGACACGAATTGTTTAGCCTTGCTCTGTGCTGCACAAGAGGAGTTTTTACCTGTCCTGTGGCATTTCCTGAAAGAGAAATCTTTAAGAAGTAAAATTGAGCCTAAAAACAGTGTTTAACAGCGTGTAAAAGCTAGACGTTTTGTCATTGTCTAGTCTTTCACCTTCTCCCTTATTTTTTCCTAATCTATAAAACACCAAATGTGCATTTATGGAATACCAGGGATTTCTATCTTAATTCTTGGAGGGTCTAGTGTTCTTCTGTTTTTTCCCCCCTTAAGCTCTTAGTTGCACAGTGTTTTCTTATTATTTAACTAACTACAGAACTGGAATGTTTCTCTCGTGTGTTTTCCAGGTTAGTGTACTTTTAATGAAGTTAGTTTTTTAAGTGTCAGCAGTAAAAAAATCTTTTACAGTTGTCTGATGTTTATACGTTTCTAAGTACTAAAATCAGTTAATCCAAAATCATTTAATTGACGATTCAGGCTGGAACAAAAACCAAAAGAGACAACACTCTTGCGCTGTGCAGCACACACCAAGATGCAGTGTTCTTTGCTTTTATTTTGTTTTAGTAAATTTAGCAGTCCAATAGCTAAACACGTCCGATAACATTAATGACTTTGCACTGATATGTTTGTCCTCCGTCTAGGATGTTTCCTGGAAAAAAGGGAAGACCTGGCGGATAGCCAGTACTGTTAAAGTTTCAGAAAATATATTCAGACAGCTCTGCAGATAGATAGTGGACAAAAACACGGAAACACCTGGGTAAATGAGGGGTGCCAAGTATATTGTAAGTGAGGTCTCACTTCGACAAGTAAATGTGAGTGAGGAAATAATATCCCTGCATGCTCAGGGTCAAGTACACAAACGCTGGTCAGGCCTGGGTGTCTGTAATCATGCCCTCAGGTCTGCAAGAGGAGCTCTTGGTTAAGCCTATGTACTTTCAGGACTTACTGGCTGCACGTGGTGGCCCAGCGCCCCATTAAGTGACTTTACATTGGTCACTTAATGCATCTTTTTCATTCCACTACTTATGCATCTTTCTTATTTCAATACGTTTGGAGGAGACCCAGCTCAAAAGGTTTACTGTGGAGAAAACGATCAATGGGCAGACTGTGAATAATGGATGTAAATGGCCAATGAGCTTTCTCATCTGCCACTGTCCTGATGATCATGTAATGCAGCCGGCTTCCTCGGACGTCTTCTAGCTGCGGCAAAATAAAGATGGCCGGAAATTTTGAATGCAGGTTTCTTATACGGGTTAGACGAAATTCCGCCTCGTTCACAGTGAGACGGTAGTGTGTACTCTGTAGATATATTGGAAAATAATGTTGAGTTAAAATAAGAAAGCAGCTGCAGTTGTGCAAATTGCAAAAAAATCTGTAATCAGTCAGCTTTCCGTGCTGCGTCTGAGTGGGTGTGGCTGGCCGATAGTGTGCCAGTACTAGGAAAGCCCCTGCAGGAAGATGGAGCTGGCTGGTTTGCTGAAAGGGGAGAGGATAAGCTGGAGAGGTGAGGTACAGATGGGAAGACTGTAATTAGTGTTACTCTGTTTATGGTAAATGATCTCTGGGAGAGACCGTCTTTGTTCACTCACAGAGGGACCGACAAGGGGACTTCCTGTGATTCAGAGGATTTTTATCCTGGTTGATTTTTTATTTATTTTTTTACGGCTCCTCTCGACTCGTACCCAGACGGTGAAAACCCATGCGCTTTGTGCCAACCCTGGCTTTCCAGATTTATTTATTTTTTTGCAGGACGGGAAGTCCCACTGTTACAGAATTGAAAAAGACCATCTTTAAACAGGCCTTCAGAGACTCTCGGGACACGCTGTCCAACGAGACGCGTTTGAGAACTCAATGTTTGGAACTCCGGTGTTGCTTTCTCGCTAGGGAAAATAAAAAGTGGAATAAAATCCACACGGGGGGTGAATGGTTTATGAATGTCTGAGAGGCCTTTCCTTTTTTTGGTCCTCACAAATCCACTGAGCAGTTTTAACTGCGATAGGTCTGTGTGGTTGTTTATTGATTTGTCTGGTTGTGTCGCCCGTCGCAGGCTGTGTCCAGAAGCTGCATGCTTGCTTGCCGCAGCGCAACTTGTCATTGTGTTTCGTCGTGAAGTTGTACACCACTGAGCGTTTTCCTGGAGCAGTCCGAGCGCAGTGCCGTGCTCAAGTGTGCTACCGCAGGGCCTCACCCGGGATTCGAACACAAATAACTTTCATGTACAAAGCGCCTTTCTAAACCCAAGCGTGCTGTACATCATGAATAAAGAACAAGACAAGAAAGGTACAATAAGAGTAGATGGAAAAACAAAAGCCCACAGGTTTTGAGAAATCAACTAGGCAGTCAGATGTAGACCTAGGTACACAGGTCACGCCACTGCTCCAATGCCCAGTTTGACCTCTGACCCCTCCCTCCAATGCTCAGCAGATGGGGCAGGTTCTGGTGGTGCTGGAAGCTGTGGGTACGGCCGTGCCGCTCAGGGTGCCTTCTGACTGGTGCTCCTCCTGGTCTTCCGGCGTCGTCTTGATTGTCGACTTTCTTTATCCAGGTACATCGGGAAGTCCGACTCCATAACGATAAGCGTGTGGAACCACAAGAAGATCCACAAGAAGCAGGGCGCGGGGTTCCTGGGCTGCGTGCGCCTCCTGTCGAACGTCATCAACAGGCTCAAGGACACTGGCTGTACGTACGAATTGCTCTTCGTCTGCTTTGTCTGCATGCGTGTCCTCAGTTTATATTCCAGCCAGTGAATGTTGCCGATGTCAAGGTGGTGCTCATAGGTAGGTGCTAAATACATACCAGATATCAATGGCCGGAATGTCTTGTCGAAAACTGCCAATCCAGTAGCACAGAGCACCTCTGTTTCTCCATCCTAGTCCTAGTTTCACCCTGCTGACCATCTGCAACTCATCAATTTAGGAAATTTATGAATCCTCCTCTTTTGGTACCCTGCTTGCTGAATAGAGATGAAGAGTTTACTCAAAAAGAGTAAAAGGCGGAGTCTGCTAAGACATCTTGTTGCCACTTCACACGCAGTCAAAACAAGGCCGTCTGTCCCCCGTGCACGGCTCTCTGAAGGGTTTGTCAGTAACAGAAGTGCAATGTTCATGTGCACATTTATTTTTAATTGGTATGAACGGAAGCTTGCTGATGTGCTGAATGAATGCTTTTCCTCTGAAAACCGGCTTGCACCAGTGTCTGTGCCACATGCTTCCTGGGTACTGTTGCCGGTTCTCTTACTGACAGGCACTCCGTTGCCAAATTTGGATCATGTGGACGTCTGGCTAGAAGAAGGGTCCACTGGGGCTTTGGCGATTGGATAATCCCCGAAATTTGTACCCCTTTCTCACCCAAGAGACTATATCATCTCTGTGTCTGGAATTCTTTCATGTGACTGGGATCCTAGAGAGTAATTTCCTCTTCCCTCCCCCCTTCCTCACTTCAGAACATTGCTTTTGGCTTTCTTTGCTGGCGCTTCTAGGCAAGCCCAACCCTGGGTTTCCTCCTCGGAGTTCTTCTGCAGCAGTTAGAGGACATCAGGCCATGTGTTGGCAGCCTGGTCTCCGCAGTGGCATGGCTGGATATTCTTAGAAGCCTGTATTCAGGGCATGATGGAGAACGCCCTGCTGCCGTCCCTGATCGAGATCATAGGCAGAGCAGCAAGAGCTACGTTTTTTGCTTTAAACTAGAGCAGAAGCTATGACTCTTCCATTTCCTCTCCTTTACAAAGAGACGCACTTGCTAGCCTTGACAGTAGGGAGGTAGTTGGGATGGGTGGAGGGGGGAAGGAAAATGTGTGGTAGTGTTTTTTTTATGACGTATAGTGAAGTTGTTTTCTGAAGGCAGCTCAAGTTAACTAGGGTCTTCGGTAGAACAAAAATAATCAAAGATGCACGGTAGACATCTGGAAGTAAGTGTAGTCGCTAAAATAGACTTCTGAGGGTTTTCATAGTCTTGTCAAAAGCCGAAAAGGAAATTAATTGTGAAACTACTGTATTTGGATGGGGGGGGTGGTGGTGGTGATAAAAGTAGCAAAGAACTCTTGTGTGGGTTGGTTGAAACTGTCAGACAAGTTCGCAGATAGCTCATCGACTCGTAGAGGAGTCATGGTGACAGACGACAGTGAGATTTCATAGAAGTTCCTGCCAGGTGGCTTTTTTTTTTTTTTTGCAGAGGAGAGCAATCTGAGGTTTTGTGTTTGAATGAGATGGCCACATGTGTGACTGTATTGGATGCTTTTTCTTTTTTGTTCAGCCTTATCAACAGTACTTTCTGGGTTTTAATACCATTTAGCGTTTGATCACGACAAACTGTCCTTTTTTTCCTTCAGTTTTGTTTCCTTCATTTGGTGTGATTTCACTGCCACGTGCAGCTGTTGCAGAGACCAAAGTAGAACAAACCTTACCCTGTAATCAATCTTCAGATGATGCTGAACTGCTTTTTATGCATTTTTACTACTTTCCATTCCAGCCTTGTAACCATTTCACTGTACTTGTTTAGTCTAGACGAGCATCCTGAACAGATAAGCATTACAGTTAGACAACCTAATATGTCTGATTGCTGGAGGCAATTTATCCCTGGCTTTTTTAACTTAATTTAGAACATCGACCTGGGGTTTTTAGACATTGGCAGACACCAGTCAATAAAAAGCAGAATAGGATGCTAAACTGTTCAGTTATTCCCAGATTTAATGTTTTGTGATAATCTTTTTTCTCCCCGTGGCCACAAAATTGCTTTGCTTGCAGTCCTGCCCTTTGAAATTTTCATGCATTTAATGTTCCGCGGTACCATGCTGTTAGTTATGTCTCTCCCTAACACAGTATACCACTTAATTGGGAACCTTAAATTCAAAGAATGTTTGGAATTGAACATCAAGCAATTTACTAATTATTATTTTCAGCGTTCATTTGCTAGGAAGCTCCTTGCTAATTGCCATCTTCTTAATAACAGATCAGAGACTAGACCTCAACAAGCTTGGCCCTAATGACAACGATACTGTGAGGGGGCAGATAGTGGGTAAGTACTACCAATTGTTCAGAAATGTGCCTTTGTTTAAAAGCTCTGTGCAAGTCACGTCTTGCAAAACTCCAGACAGTCTCTGACCTCTTTTAGAACCCAAGATGTTGGGTAGTGTTTGTGCAAGCTGTTTTGAAACAGACCGCACTCAAGACGGAGAAATTTTGCTTTGCACTGTGCAATGAAGAATGCTGTAGTTCCTAGAGCAGCCTTAACCGTTTCTGAACTCACCAGCCCTCCTGCTCCATGCAGTAGTGAATCACCAACTGCTTCTCCAAAGTGACCCACAGCCCGTCATCCATGTGCAGCTTTCAGATACTTGAGTTTTAATAGGTGTTATTTAAGTCAATTTATTTATTAAGGTAAATCTTTGTAATGCATACTTAAGCTGTTCTTTAAAGATAACATTGTGGGGATGTGGTGGGGTGTGGGTTCTTTGAAGAGCTGTAATGTCTCAATATGCAGCTGAAATGGGTTATAATGTCTCTTTTACCACTGACAGTCCTATAAGTGTTACAAGTCTCAGGCATAGCCTCCAGTAACAGGTAGCTTTACAGTTAATATAGCAGAAATAAAGACACAGGAACACCATTAGTTCCAGCTTCTAGTCTTCCTCCTTTTACTTCTGAGGTAAAACACTACTCCATGACAGTTATATTTGACTATATACCTGCATTGACATTTCTAACCAATTGTCAGACAGTACTACAGTCCACTGCTTCTAATAGAAGTTTAACTGCCTTGTTGTTTTTCTTTTTGGCCATGGGCGCTTGTCCCTTAAACAACACATTAGATTATATTTCTTTGTGTGCATCACATAAGCCTACACCTATAATTGCACATTGCTGTAATTAGAAAGCACTCTGTGCTTTTAGAGACAATTAACACGTTAGAAAGGACAGGAATCAGATTTTATTACAGGGGGTAAGGCAGTAAGTCAGATGGCCCTAGCCAGGTATGTGCCCCTACACCAGCGTTATAACCTTTGTGTGTGGCTGTGCAGTCTACAGCCTTGTCACTCCAGCGATGCTGTCCTGTTATTTAAAGCGATTACTTTAACCTTGCCTCTGACACTCATCTGTAAAATCGGTGACAGTAGAACTGAATGGCTCAGTTGTGAACTGCACATGCCCCGAGAGGCTACGCTATTCAATGGTTGGCCCAGGTGCTCGGCTTCGTCTAATTATCTGGCTCCCTGCATCCCTATGGTCACAGGGAGTGCAGTGAAAATACAGTCATTAAAACAAATCCATCTTCCCATGAGCAAAGAGTGCATGTAAAAAGAACTCGGTATGCCTTTTTAAATTTTAGAAAGGAGCATTCAGGCTTTACTGAAAGATACAGGAGCACAATTCTTTACCAAGGGCGCAGAACTCTTGTCTCCTGCTGTCTTTGAGCAATGCTTTGACTAAAGGCTGGAAAGAGCCCCTGTGGAATGTGAGCATTCTAGACAAACGAATTTTCCATTTCTTGTGGCCGATTAAATTGGTTCTAAAAGTTTGCCCGTATAAAAAAAAAAAAAAAAAAAAGCCCCTTTGTTAGATTGTGGTCTGCAGTTTCACGTTCTCCCCGTGATGTCAAATATCTGAGAGCTCCAGGGCGCCTCAGCAGTCCTGTCCTGAAGGCTTGTTTCTCCTGTCTGTTCAGTGAGTCTGCAGTCCAGGGATCGGATAGGCACAGGCGGGCCTGTGGTGGACTGCAGCCGCTTGTTCGACAACGACTTACCCGATGGGTGAGTGCTCTTTTCCTTGTCATGGCTAGTGTGGCTGGGAAGCTGCCTTGTTTCTGACCTCAATGCCGCTGTCCTTCATCATTGTGGAACTTCTCAGTCTGTTCTTTTATCTTCTTCATGGTGATTTTTATATAGTCCTGACAGCAGTGACCGGTTCAGTTCTGTGACCCTGCGTCTCCAACCCTGGTAGGTTGTCTGAACCTAAACTCTGTGGGTGCCTGCGTACACAGGCTCAAAAAAATCTCATTCTTCATGCTTTCGGCCATGTGTGGAGTTAAGGCCCTTGTTCTTCCAATATAGCAGCACTAATGTTGTGACTTGGTTAGTCAGCTCCTTCATCTTTACTGGGGGTTTACAGAAAAATCTGTTTTAATTCCACACAGCTTGCAGTAGAGAAAACACCACCCATTTTAGGATGAACTGCCACCTGAAATTAAACCCCCAAAATTGTTTCCTCCTTTACTTTGCAGCCCTTTGTCCTCAGTTCCTCCTGAATAAAGTAAAAGATCTGGAGAAACTTGTAATACATCACAAACCTGTTTTTTTTTCTCGGGCCCATTCAACACACAGAGTGAATTGGAATTGTCTCTTATTTATTTTGCAGTGCCATTGAACTGGGTGGACATGGTAGGTTTTTCTAGAGTTGTCAAGGTTGTTGGTTTCTAGGACATGTCCAGGGTTCACCTGATGCATTTAGGAGTGAATGTCTGACCAGGCTGGTCTGGAGGGGAACAATAGCAGGGGGAGATGACTTACAGCCCCTCCTGGTGGTGTAGAACGGAACTGAATCGTCTGGGAGGTAGTCAAAGTTGGTCAGCTTCTTCGGAGTGCGGCGCAGCCCGAGCTGAGATCAGGGACTGAACATAAAGGAAACCTGGAGCGGCTGGGGCACAAGAGCAGTGCAAAGCCCAGGGAATTCTTTGTGATTTCTCAGCTCCTGTTCCAGGGCAGGAGAAGAAGGCGATTGGCTGTATTCGCAGGCAGGAGGAAGGTCAAAGTGCAGGCTGGGGTGGGGGGCAATTTCCCCCTCATCTGTTTCCATGCCGCCCCCCCCCCCCGTGAAGCCCGTCTCTCCCTCTCTCCTCTCCAGCCTCCGGTGCCGTGACTCATGGCAGCAGATCGCTTCCTGTGTCGGCGGCGCGGCTAGGGAGAGCCGGTTTCCTGGAAATCGCACTCACCGCCTTTGTCTCTCCTGTCTTGTCTGTCTGTCTGTCTCCCCTCGGAAAACGCCATCCAGCTGGGAGGAGCGCCGGACGGCCTCGGGCCGCATCCAGTACCTCAATCACATCACGCGCACCACGCAATGGGAGCGACCCACACGGTGAGTCCCGTCCTCTGCGCCGCGGGGGGAACGGGGCCCCCGGGGGCCCCCACATCTGGAGTCAGTCGCGAGGTCACCTCACTCCGATTTCCCCACCGCCTCCCGGCACAGGGCCCTCCCTTGGCCGCACCCCGGCGAAAACTTGGGCGTTTTTTCCTCTGCTCGCTAGAACAGATGACCCCAGTAGGGGAAACTTCCTTTCCCTTTTCTGTGACGCTTCTGTTGGTAGTGTTTGTCTGTTGGGCCGCGGAGGGAACCGGCTCTGACAAGGTCCGTTAATTTGGGACCCAAAGGGTTCCTTCACGCTGTCTCAGCGTTTTTGTTTGGTTTTTTTAGACCCGTTGTCAACATTATGGTCAGCATACAGCAGAGCTCTAGCATAATAGTGAAGATACCAGTACCCATACTACGTAAGCGTATATTTACTATATAAGCGTACAGATAAATAAAATGCAGGAGCTTTCCTTGTTGTTCTGGGATCTGTTTAGTCATTGCCACATTTGCTGTGTTCTTCCCCCTGGTAATGTAGCTTTCATTGATCTAAAACATTTTCCTTCATGTGTTTCCAGTATAAATAGGGAAATTGCAGCCAGTTACAAGTAATGTGTGGTCTCCACAAATGAAAACAAAAAATAAAGCTAATCTTTTGAAGGGGGGGAGGGGGTATCAATTTCAAGATAAAAATAAATAAATTACCCCGCAGTTTTCAGGAGATTCCTGTCATTCTAAGTTGGGGAAATACGTCCTCTAAGCCCTCGCAGATAACCGAGGCGACAGGCTGTGTAAAAAGTCGCGACGGGGCCGTTTCTGCCAGACTTCAGGGCTCCCCTTTCGGGTTCCTTATCAGCGTCTTTCCTGTCGCGGCATTCTCATGTGGGCCTGAGTGCTGGTCCGTCAGGCAGCACGGCGCTGTCGGCGTGCTCAGCCCACAGGCTCCGTCATCCTTCAGCTGCGTGCAGGGGGAGAAAACTGCCTTCCATTTCTGGTTAATAGTGCGATGGTTTTGCATCAACACTGTCCTAGTGAGAGATACGAGCAGCACGGCTTCTCGCCACCACTTCCTGTGCCAGACGAGAAAGAAATTGCATTTTAATTTGCTCTCTTTGGCATGCCTGATAAAAGATGGGGGAGGGGGGGGAGGCACATCTCCTATGGATGGCAAGGTGTAACGGATCATAGCCAGCAACTTAATAGACTTCTGCCGGGGTCTCACCAGGCTGCGCAGCCCAGACTCCAGCACAGGTGACCTCGAAACTCTCCGAGCCGCATGGGCAGCTCCTTGGGGGTGACAGTCGTGTTTCCCCCCCCCCCTCTCTGGCTCCTCAGGCCGGCTTCTGAGTACTCCAGCCCCGGGAGACCCCTGAGCTGCCTGGTGGACGAAAACACGCCCATCGTGGGCACGAACGGCGCCACGTCCGGACAGGGCACGGACCCCCGGGCGCAGGAGCGGCGAGTCCGGTCGCAGAGGCACAGGAACTACATGAGCAGGACACATCTGCACACGCCCCCCGACTTGCCCGAGGGCTATGGTGAGCTGAGCGGCCCGGTCGCGTCGGGTGTTTTCTTAGTCACGTGGCAGTAGTTGCCTAGAGCAGCTTTGCTTGACTCTTCTGACTTCACTGGTATAATTAGTATGGTTGGCAGGTTTGCAGATGATACAATTAGGAGGATGAGCTAATGAAATCCCACAAGGTTTAGCTCAAATTCAGGACCGGGCAACCACCTTGCACATGACCTTTAATGTAGAACAGCGGCGGCAGAGTTTTGTGTGCAGGTAGTAAATACTGTGAACTATAAATAAAATAGGAAATGCTGAGCTAGATGTGGCTTCTCATGGAACAGACTTGGGTGGTCTATGTTCACGCGTTGTTTTCATCTTCCGGGCAGTCTGGGGAAACAGATAAAGAGGAAGTCGCGCAAAATCTTGCTGTGTAGTCAGAAGCGTAGAATTTAAATAAAAGGATGTTGCGTAAAACTTCACACCCAGTTATGTTCTGTGCTGCAGAATTTGAGCTCTCCTTGCCAGTAAAGTAGGGTGTATTTGTGAGTTGTTTGCAATGATGGGACAGGCCAGGGGAAAGCATATCGTGATGCTTCTTGTGAAGAGAGCTCAATTATGAGATCTATAGGGCTGCCTATTTTTTTTTGTCAGCACTGCTGTGCATCCTTATACCCTTGTCCAAGATGTTATGGCAGCTGTAATCAGGCCAGAGAGCCATGCTTTTCCTGTTCGACTTGGTGTTTGGACACACTTTCCAAGGATACCGAGCGTTGCATGTCCATAGCTCAGCAAAGGAATCGCAGATCGATTTTGCCAAGTCATAATCCCAGCGAGGGTGAAGGTGGGGTGCCCTGGAGGAGAGGGATGTGGGCGATGAGGGGAGAATCGAAGAGTGGTGTCTTGGAGACACTGAGGATCTTTACAGAAAAGAAAGTTGTTGTTTTTTCCTTGGCTCCTGGGTAATTCTCAGTGGGGGAAGAGGTTTTTTTAGTTAGAGAGAAACAAGTATGTTACAGGGGGAGTGGTCTGTCCATGCTGTTTGCCTGTTGAGAGCTGTCAGATATTGATCTAATCTTAAACCACATGAAAACTAGATTTTAAAGGGCTTTTTCTGCCGTTTTAAGCTTGTATATTTATGTGCTCCATATCTACACAAACGCGCGTCTGCATACTTTCCTTCTCAGATCGATAGTTGCATAATCCCTGGGTAAAGTGGACATGGCTCTTTAAAATAGTTCCTTCTTTCGTTGCTGCATTCCACATTCTATAGGTAATGTTCTGTCTATACATGTGATCTGGCTAGGCTGAGGCTAGCTCACCATCACCACATGGTTCCTGTCTACTGAATATGGAGCCTGCGTGGAGTTTTTCCAGCTGCTTTTTTTCCTTCCCTTCAAGCTGCCCAGGAATGACTGCTTAAGACTCGGATTTAGTCAAATCCTTAGAGGATTTCTCGGCGGGCGCGGGGGAAGTACATGAGAGGGTGTTGCTGCTCAGCGCCTGGGGGGTTCGGGGGTGTCTTTCTGGGATGACGGTGCCAGACTCCCGCTTTCCCCAGCACTGTTGGATGAGGTTGGGCGTGGTGAGTCCAGGGGGTGTCCAGAGCTCCCTGGGTGGGGCCACACACACCCACCCAGAGGTTATGTCCCCAAACACCCGCGTGTAGACCAGGGTGGTGTGTCCACACAGGTGCCAGAAAGACCCCGGTACATGGGAATTTCTCAGTCGGAAGCGGTGAACGAGCCCGAGGGCACAGCTCCTTCCTCTCCGTCCTCTGTGTGAGTCCAGCGTGCGCACTGACGGGAGTACAGGGGGCGTTTTCGTACCCAGGTCTACTGAGCTGTGAGCCTAAAGCTAGGTGCTGGGTGCGGCGTCGGTGCCCGTCTTTTCAGGCGACGGTATGGTCTTCCACCTTCTCTGCTGTTCGTCGGTTCAGTCCTCGTCTCTTGTGTGTTCCTATTTGCTTGCAGAGCAGCGAACGACGCAGCAGGGGCAGGTGTACTTCCTCCATACGCAGACAGGGGTCAGCACTTGGCACGACCCCAGGGTTCCCAGGTGAGATTTCTCCACCTCCTTGCATCCCACTGCTGGGCTTTGTTACATGTGCCGGATCTGATCGCATTGATAAGGCTGAGCTTTTGCTGCTACCCTTTTAGGTTTTTTTTCTTAAGCGACACGTGGTTCCCGTTGAGCTGGGAAACGGGACGGACGTTGCATTGTTCTCTCATCACCAAGAAACAGCCTCCAGACCGACCGACCTCGCAGAATGTGCCTGGGAATTTATTAAGGCTGCAGGAGTGTTTCGTTTGGCAGCAGCAAGCCTTCTAGTAGAGCTGGCAGTGTGGTGGTGATGTTTTTTGGGGGAGGGGGGAGGTGGAGGTGGGGTTCACCCCCCAGGTGGGTGTTTCTGCAGGGCCGGGTTCCGCTGCGGGGAATATTTCTGGCTCCACGCTGCAACTGTTGAGACACTGGGGGGAGGGAACCGTAGACATTTGATGGGGTTTTTTTAATGGAATCGCTCTGCTTTCTTCAGCTGCTTCAGTCTCTGCTGTCATACAGACCTTCTGCAGGGCAACTGTCTGTAGTGATGGGGAACGGCAATGACTGAGCCTGGTTTCCCTTCTGAGCTGCATGTAAATACAGTAATCGTATCTTATTCACCAGTTCTAGTAGCAATGCTGTTCGTATGGCCTGGAAACAAAAGGCACGATTTAACTTATAGTGATCCTTTGTAGGAATTAGGTGTTAGAGCTTGTTCCACTTTTTTTTTACCCCCAAGAGAAAACACTTCACTTTATCCCCATGATGAGAATTGTTCTTAGAACAAAAAAAGTCACAATGGCGATTTTTTTTTTCTTTTAGTCTTTAACAAAAATAAAACCCGCTTTCAGGCTCTTCTGTTGTGCCTCTCAGTCATGGCTGCACACCAAATTATGCAGTTTTAGTCATCTCAAGCTAAGTGAGGCCTCTGTCAACTTTTTTTTTTGTAGGTTTCTATCTGGGGAGAGTAAAGGATTCCAGCCGAAAGGCAAATAGAATGTAACCAAGTCTTCTTTTTCCTCTGTGACCTGTTGGAATGGCTCTCCCGCTGCAGAGCCAGGCCCGGCGCGCTGCGCGCTGCGAGAGCCGGGGTGAGCTGTGCTCCTTGTCGCCGCAGGGACCTGAGCAACGTGAACTGCGAGGAGCTGGGCCCGCTGCCGCCGGGCTGGGAGATCCGCAACACCGCCACGGGCCGCGTCTACTTCGTGGACCACAACAACCGCACCACGCAGTTCACCGACCCGCGGCTCTCCGCCAACCTGCACCTGGTCCTGAAGTGAGTGCGCCTCTCCCCGGCGGGCGCCCTCGCGCTCCTAAGCGTCCGCTCAGGACGGGGGGGCGGCGCCGAGCCCGGGGGAGCCGTTCGTCTCCCCTCCAGCTCGTTCTGGGTTAGTTGGTTGCCAGTCGATCCGAGGATCTTATCCGGCTTTTCCTCGCGAGGAGCCAGGGTATCGGCTTCAACATCTTGGCTGGGCTGCTCCGTTACAGACTTCCAGAGGAAAGACTCGTGCGGCCGCAGGGTGGGGAGGGGGGGAGAACTGGGCTCCTCCGGGTCCGACCTGAGATTATTTTCTTTTATTTCAGCAATCCGAAACCCAACGGTTCCCGTGTCAGCATGGAGAGCCAGAACAGTAACCTCAGGTAGAAAACTCGCCATTGGGCCCGACACCAATCCCATCTGCGGTTTTCTGTGCGCGGGGGCACCCACCACCTCACACCCATCTTTAAAAATAGTTCTCTTGCAAGATTGGTTAGGATTCGTCCGTTTCTTTTAAGGTTTGGAGACGTGATAAAGACCGAGATTTTTTTTTACTTGGTGCACTTCTGTGCAAATCTCTACTGAGGAGCTGCCTTAGCTGAACTTCGGTCGTGTCAAAAGATGCCGTGCGCCGTGCTACAGCCTGAGAGAGTTTGAGTACATGCGATGCGACTGTAACTGGCCTCCTGAAATGTTTTTTCTTTGCACAGCTGTTCAGACAGCCCACTGAAGGGCGATACGATCTCCAGTGCAGAGCTGTCTAATTGTGGCATTATTACACTGTGGCGTCAGCCCATCTGATCTGCAAACATGTTTCTTGACGATTTGTAATTCCTAGCCTTTCCATTTTTTGTCTTGGGCTGCTCACCATTAATTAAGATTGTATTTCTTTATTATTTTTGTTTAATTTGCTTAACATGTCAATTTAGCCCTCGGTTTTGTAGCTTGAAAGCCAGGTCACGATTCTGAATGTTTTCCATATATCCCTTACGGATGATGATGATACATTTGTCATCATTTCCTTTTGTTTATATAGCTTTGTTCCTCCCAGAGGATTCATAGACCCGTGATATCCGCCCACTGAAGTGCAGCACCTTCTGAGAAACTCAGAAATTGGGTGGTTACGTCATAAAAAAATAAGTCTTCGATTTATTTTCGTTGCTCTTAAAGCATTGTCGGAGTGTTTCGCACTGCGAAATTCTCCACCGGAGTGTTGGACTTGAGGCCGAGCTGGCTCGCGTTGCCGGGGCTCCGCTGCTGCGGGACGTGTGCCCGGCGGAACAGAGCTTCCCGTCGGAGACGAGCTGTCTCATGGTACAGCTACACCACACACATGGGGGGTTTCCCTGCTTCTCCCTCGAACCCTCGCACCTCCCGCCTTCTCTGTCCTGCCACGGGGAGGGTCCCCCAAGTGCACCCTCAGCCGTGCTGGGCGAAGGGGCAGCAGCTGGGCGAGGAGGACAGCGTGATGGGGTTCCCCTCTTTACTGGGGGCAGGGGCTGGAGCGCGGGGCTCCCCGCGGGGCTCCCGCGCACAAACTTCCCCTTCCCTGTTCTCAGAACTGTTACGGACTGGAAAAGCGATTAATACCGATCCTGGCTCTCCTTCAAGACATCTGTCTTTTATCACGGAAAAGAATTCAGAAATTTCGCCTTACACCATCATTCCTTTAGACGTCCAGAGCCTGATGTTTTCAGAGAATTTTTTAGCCTGCTCTTTTTTTGTTTTTGTTTTGCAGAATCGTACATGTTAAATGACTTCATTTTTCTGACATTTAACCAAAAGATAACCATTTCCAACCTCGTTACTTTACACAGCAGGTCTTACTGTACTGTACCATAGACATATATTTATTATTTTTTTGATGGCAAGTACAACATTGATTTATGTATCATTTAGCCTCATCTTAATGCACAGCAATGTGTCCATGAGGGACAGAGAGCAAATATGTAAGGAAATTCCAGTGGAGCCAAGTAGGAATCGCAGGGCTGTGGTCTTGGGATGACATGCCTGGAAAGATTCAGGCTTATTGCTGCAGGAAGGAAAAGCAAGAGTACGTATAGAGTACTTACCGGACAGTCGGAGTGAGAAGGGAAGGGAAAGCATTGGGACAATGTGAGGAGTGTCCTGTTCTCTTTTGCAGTGCCTCTCTGATCTCTGCATCGTGTGCTTGGGTGCCGTCCGTGGCATGCTCTTCCTGCATGTCTCCCCCTTGGAGCACGTGAAGGAGACGAGGGTTGTTGTGGCGCGGGTGGTTCCTGGCTCGGACCAGGTGGCAAGAGGAAGAGGAGCGATCTGAGCAGGAGCAGGCTGAGCCTCCTCTCGCTCTCGTCTTTTAAAAAAAAAAGTTTATTCTCCGCTTCTATTCCTGTCGTTTTTCTGTGGTTCAGCTTAACACCACTTCTTAGACAGCTGGAACATTAGGGGCTCCTTTCAGCAGGAAACTTTTCTTTTTGGAGATTTTTGTGGTTTTTGTCAAATGCAGATTTTCTTTTTGTGAGTGTGTGTATGATCTCAGAACTGCAGTTTTTACATAGTTCCCCTTTCTGTTTCTTTTATTTTTGACTTGCCTTTTAGTGTGACAAACTTCAAAGGAACAAGCACTTGATTGTCTCATAGTGTGGTGGGTTCTGAGGTTTCTTCTGTCTGTAGAGCAGTGCACATGATCTCGTGATTGACTGGATTCGATTTGTTACTTTCAGTGAGAGGTACTGGAATCCTTACCAGAATGGCTCCACAAAGACGTACTGAACTTTCTTGTATACGTGTAAACATACAGTACATTACGACTATACCGCACTGACAGACTATGAAGGATCAGGACATGCGTTTTGATGCATTACAGGTTGAAATTTACTTCTTGTTCTTCTTTGCCAGTTTAAATCTGTCTGCACTTAGAAGTTTCATTATTGCTGCTGTTATAATCATCTCTAGTGCTTTAAGAGCTTCTGATAAGCTAGATACATTCTTCCCTTTTTTCTTAATTTCTTCCTGCACTTTTAGTGTTTCCTATTGGAATCCAATAGGAATGTCCAATAGGAATCCTGCACACTTGGGTGTGGAGGTGTGTGAACTCATTGAAAATGATGAGTAACAGGCGATAGTGGACACTTTCTTTCCATAACTTCCTCAGCCCAACTAAGCAACGGACAAAATGCACTAAGGAACGTTTCCTTATTGCACATTGTACTAAAGAAAACAGTGCCTGACAGAAAGGGACAGTTTGATGAAAAGGGACAGCAACAACGCGCTCAGTAAGTCTAAACACACAGGCGTTCCAGTTGTACTTGGTCTCGATGTTGAGGTCCGTCTCCGTCGGGAGCTGGGCTGAAAAGAGCTTTGTGTTCTGGTTAACATTAAAGTAATGAAAGAGACTGTGAAGAGGGACCGTTGCTCTTGGTGGAAACGCAGCTCTTCTTGTCTCTGAATGTCGCCACGGTGTGTGGGCCTCGCTGCACGGAGGACGAGATCGGCAGGATGATAAATTGTGGAAGGCGAGAAGGGAGAATTAAGGGCTGTAACTTGTGTGGGTTACAACAGAGAAATGACAGCTTGTTAAAATATCATTATTGCTGATACCATAAATAATAAGAAAAAATAGTTCATTCCCTGTTCTGCGGTGAAACACTCCATTTACAAAGGACCATTGGGAGATTTTAGTTATCAATGGAGAAGAAAAATGCAAATAATAAACAGCTGGGTTTCGGAAAAGGGAACCGAGTTGTCTGGGGGAGGTGGGTGTGGGTGCCAGCGCAGTTACTGTACGTCGGCGTTGAGCTGTTCAGTATCAAAACCTCACGTTCCTGAGGCCCAGACAATCCAGGTGGAAGGGCCAGCCTCCTGGCTGCCGTGCCAATACAAACAGCGCTCTGTGAGGCCAGCCTCTCCCAGCCTAGGCCAGTGGAGCACGGCGCCACCTGGAGGAGAGATCAGGCGCCTGGCCTGTGGGCTGCGTTTTGAACCGGGGAAGGCAAACAACCCTTGAAAGAGCAGGGGGGGAAAAGAAAGTGGAAAATAGTTTATTTTGTCAGTTTGAAGAGTCAGCACTTCTCCTCGGTAGCTTTGCGCAGAATGAGCTTGTGAAAATAAATGTCAGAAGTTTTGCTTTTACCTTTACTTGGGGAAACTTAAAAAAAACTGTTCCCTGTTCTTTCATGGTTTTTTTTCCCCTCTGAGTTATAAAAAGATCAATTTTGTGATGTGCATTTATGAATCTTTTTCTTTCCTTGTGTATACATTCAGTGAATTAACTGGGCATGTTTGCTGACTGTACTTAATTGCTTATTTAATTATATTATAGCCAATCTAAACCCGAATAGTGTCACTGTGTGCTTCACTGCTAAATCCTGCTTGTGACAAGATTTGGATTTTGAGGTTGTTGTATCGTAGAGATTCAGATGGAGTTTACTGTTCTTCAGCAGGAACTTCCAGCTGAAAGCAAGCTCTGCCCTGTGCCATCATTAACCTGTGCTGTTAACAAATTTAAGTTCTTAAACTTTGTCTAGAAGAAGCACAGATAAATCAAATTGAGAACAGTACAGAAGCAAGGAAGGGGTTTTTCACGAGACAGAGAGAGAAGAAAGCAGAGCAGAAGGGAAAAGGGGGCTGATTTTCACAGATGCTGCAAACCAAACAGTGCAGCTGCCCAGGCTGCCACAGTTTTTGCTTAACACAGTGCAGCCAGAGAGTACTTCCTTCTGCAAGAACAACATCTGCGCATGTAACAACCTGCGTGTGATTAACTGTGGTCCACTGGTATCTCTGATTCCACCACCTCTCTCTACAAACGTGCTTGGACTCATGGGCAATCTTCAAGGCTCTTGGAAGTCAAACCTGATGTGTATTTGGTTGAGTAGGAAAGTAGGGTAGAAGAGTCGTTTTGACATTCAAAGGTACGAGGACTGATTTCGGCCAATGTCATCATCCACCAAGTGTAGCAACGTTCGAAATCCCTTCAGAACACTGCGAGATTGGCCTGGAAAAAATGACATTCATAAAATGAAAATTGAAACCTTTAATATTAGTTGTAATGTTAACCATCAGTACTTTTCCTGAGGCTTTTCAAAGGGTTCTGACATTTGTAAGGAGTTGTTACTCAGCTCCTCTACATTCATTCTGTCAGATCTACACATAGCGTCATTGTGAATTTAAGTACAGTTGGACCAGTATAACCCTTTTTCTCTGGTGGTGACGTGCCTGCTGTTCATACTAAGTGCAAAAGGCCATAGTGTGAGTAACACTCCAGTACTGTTTTCATAAAGGGCCTTTTGATTCGCAGGAGTCTGTCTGTCCACCTTGGCAGGGTTCTCTGGTTTTCATGCCAAGCTTATGGGAAGTCTTGGACAGCATTGTTCAGACTAAGACTGTTTTGGTTCACCAGTTCACCCCCTGGTTGTGGGCAGGTGATTATCTGTAATATTTATTTAAAAAATATACAGAATGATCAGGCTAGGTTTCCTGTCAGACCAAGAAAAGAGACTTCTATTAAAGACAGAGCTGTGGGTCTTTTTAATGGTTGCTGAAGTGTGATTTGTGAAAGTTTTTTTTTTTAATGTACTGAAAACACAGTTTGAAGTCAGTCATTCTTGTACTTTTCCTGCTGTCTTGCTGTTAGGCACAATCTGTCCGTTCTTATTCAAGGACATTTCTGTTGAGCTGAAGTATTTTTTGCTCTAAGACAAGTAAAGGACCACAAAATTGCCAAGAAAACAGCCATCAGTCTAATTATACAGTGATGGCACAGAGCTTTATTCCCCTTTTTTAAAAGATCTATAACATTTTTACTGAAAGTGAAACATTGGTTTAGGGTCAGTGGTCAGTATATTCCAAGCCTTCTCTTTGATGACCTCATGGAAACATTTGTGTAGTTCTTCAGTTGCTCCTTTTTGTGGTGTACTTTGTGCGATTTTAGCTTTCTCGTTTTACCTTAACGGGTTTTTGAGTTTGGCTTTTATGGGACCACCCTAGTGCTGGAGAGGCAGCCTGGCAGACGGCAGGCATGGTGTGAAGACGGCTCAGGAGTTTCGAGAGGAAGAAAAGGGCGCGCGTGACCGGGCAGCAGTTTGTTTTAGCAGAATGCCAGGGCGTGGAACAAGGATTTGTGCAGTAGTGTGTAGTCATGCTGCCAGCAGTGTCCCTTACTTACAGATGCTGTGGTGCCACCAAACCTGTTAGCATCTTCCTTTTTTATTTACTGCGGAATTGGCTGGAGCCATGCTCCTTGAATTCCAAGATAAACACAACTGAAATTTAAAGTTTTAGATAGACCCACTTTGCCACGGAGTCTTGCCTTATCTTTTCTTGCTGGCTATCTTTCATAATTGTTTTTTTTTTTAATTAGGGGTAGACTCCTTGGTCCCTTCCCTTGGCAGTGCAGACATCGGCGCTGGGGGGAGAGATGCCTTTCCGCTCAGTGGTTGAAAAGGAACCGTGTCCACGTGCTCTGTACTTGGTGTGCCCCGCTGTTAATGTATAATTTCCCAATTCATAAAAAGACACACTTCTGTAGAAATGTCATTATATCTGGCATTTTTAAGCACTGGTGGCTGTGTTTTCCTGTGGATGGAACAACTGAGTGCCACCTAGAAAGGAAGGATAGAGGAAGGTTATAGATATTTCCATTTTACCATTCATTCTTGCTATGAGGGAGATGGGTTTGGAAGCAGAGCTTTGTTTGTTACCAGACCAACAGGACAGCATTCCAAAGCTCGCAAGGCAAAGCTAGCGCTGGTTCGCTTCCCTTGGCTAGAAGGTGTGTGGAGAGAGAGAGGACTTCCTTCCGTGAGCTGGACTCGTGTTATGGTTGTCTTCTCGCGATTCAACAGACTTTTTTTTTTTTTTCCTGGTCAGACCTTCTGCGTTGCCTTTAGACGATATTGCGCATGTTCTGAAAGGCAGACGATCATATTCTACTCTTGTTTCCTACGATCGGCTTCAGTGACAAACCCACACGTCGTAGAGAGACGCGGGACGGCTGTGAGGATCACGATGCTGGAGCTCTTTTTTGCAGTTCCAGAAAGGAGGTCATTGATCAGGAGGATGAATGAGACAAAAGCATAGTTGGGGTTTTTGCAGGTTTTGTGAGGGGTCATGCAGAGCCAGACTTAGGTCAAGTCCTTCTCCCTCTTCCCCTGTGCAGCCGCCAGAACCAGCTGAAGGAGCAGCACCAGCCCCCCCAGGTGCTGGTGTCCCCCAGCCAGCTGCCAGAGGAGCCCGAGTGCCTGACGGTGCCCAAGTACAAGCGTGACCTGGTGCAGAAGCTGAAGATCCTCCGCCAGGAGCTGTCCCAGCAGCAGCCCCAAGCTGGCCACTGCAGGGTCGAGGTGTCGCGCGAGGAGATCTTCGAGGTGAGGCTGGGCCGCCCTGTACCCCTCCTGGAGCTCTCGGCCGAGGGCCTCCTCCGATCTCGCTCCGTGCAAGATAGAAATAGCCTCTCCTGAGGGACAAAATCCACAGCTGGGAAAGGTTGCGTAGGCAGACACAGGATGATTGCTCTAGGATGATGGTAGGATGTTGGTAAAGGTTTGAAGCATTAGGTGCATATGACCCCCCCCCAATTTCTCCAGGCCTGGAGGGAGCTCTGTTCCATCGCAGGCTTGTCCTCAGCAGTGCTGGGGCCCCTTTGTACAGCTGAGCTGACTTGAGGAATCGACGTTCAGCAACTTGTTCAGTGCTGGCAGCCGAGACCTGAACCCAGAACCTTGAGCCCTACTCGCTACTCTGCACTGCCTCCAAGGTGTTGGAGGTAGTGTTTATTTTTAAGGAGGGTGGGAGATGTGGTGTTGGCAGTGGGTGTCTGACGTTTTGGGCAGAATCATCCTCTCATCCACTGATACAGGCCACAATGTGCACTTTCCCTTACACTTGCCTGGTTAGACTGCTTCTAATCTGAGTTTATCATCAGCTATATAAGCGTATGGAATTATTATTAGAATTGAAACTTTCACTGCTGGGACCTTGATTCCAGCATGGCTGAGTTAAGGACTGTGCCCACTTCTAAGAGTGGGTGTTTTTTTTTTTATTGCACCATCTGACATTTTTCACGCGTCTGATCCCATGGTCCATTTCTAATGGAGGGGCACACTAGTGCGCCTCACTAGACACCAGTAGCTTTCCCCCATTGCACCTGTGCCATGTGGGGCTCTCGGGGCACAGTAAGCTAATGACATAGTCCAGAGCCAAACTGGTGATGCCCGGACTACAGGCCTCAACCTGCGCTTTGAACCGGCACCTTTCCTGGTTGGATTTACTTGGTATTTTAATCCACTTTTAATTAGAATATTTTGGTTTAGTTTCTAAATTTCTCCTCCCACCCAGAGTTAAGAAGACTAAGCTGTATTTCATTACCTAAAGCTCTCGAGGGGGGGAAAAGACAGCTCAATTGAAACACATACCTTAGAAAGCCTTTAGTAGCCCTCCATCTGATATTGAGGCTAGACGGGCTCTAAACCCGGGCCTATCACCAGTGCAGTTTCCTGCTTTGTAGGTAGTTCAATAGAAAAACTCTTACATATTGTTTTTAGCTATGAAAAACAAGCCTTTCAAGAAAGGCTTAGCAGTGATGACCCTCTTGTGCATTCCCGATATCAGTCATTCCCAGACATTTCTGAGTCGGTGCTGCTCGGACAGAGCCTGCGGGATTTGTGGCAACACTTGCAAAACTTTCATAATACCACCACGTAGTGTTTTGACACCCAGTATTACATTTTAGTGCCAGCTTTTACTAGCAGAAGAGGATTTATGCTGTCCTGAACAGTGGGAGGTTTTGGATATGACGTGAAGAATGATGAAGTGTTGGGTGTGTTGTTTTTTTCCCCCTGTCTCCCTGTTTATGTTCGGTCTGCGCATGCCATACAGATGTGATCTTTGACGGCGCTTGGGACAATCTCATTAAGAGGTTGATGCAAGCAGTCGGAAGGATGTCTTAGTTTAAGATCTTCGGATTATGATCTTCTGCTGGAATGTTACGCAAGGCGTGAGATGTTGTTGAGCTCTAGCTTTGCACACACTGAAGCCCGGTCACACTCTTTGCAGGAGTCTTACAGGCAGGTGATGAAGATGAGGCCGAAAGACCTGTGGAAGAGGTTAATGGTGAAGTTCCGAGGGGAGGAGGGCCTGGACTATGGAGGAGTAGCCAGGTATGAGAAACAACACAGATCCCCCTTATTAGCTTGACTTATAGCTTAATACTGTATATGGCATCTTAGTTTGAAGTAACCCTTCCTGTAGTCATTTACATACAGATGAAAATGTGTGGAATTTATACATAATACAGAAGGAATTTTGCCTCTTGTGACATCACAGCTTTATAATAGTGAACCGAAATTGTAGCAGAGAAGCACAATCAGTCAGGCTAATTTTTGTATTTTATAATCGATGTTTTTACTTGAATAACGTGCAACTGTTTTACTTGTGGAGTTTGCCAAGTATGGATTTGTTTGACTGAAGTAGTCAGTTTTTTAAAGGAACAAGAAAAGGTTTATTCCATGTTGAAAAGAGGAGAAAAGCAACGCAACGTGCGTTTCTCTCTTCTCAGCTGGAATAAACCTTTACTTGTTCCTTTGCAACCTACGCATGCTGACGCAGCTCCCTACTTGAACTACTTCAGTTGTTTTTTTTTAATGCGCCTCTTGCATTAAATTGATATGGAGGCTGTATGTATAGACATGGTACATGCTGACCCAGGCTCTGTACGTAGAGCTCCTACCGTGAGTGTGTGGTGATGCTTTTGAAATGTGGCATGTCTGTTTCTGCTGCTCAGGGAATGGCTATACCTGCTGTCCCACGAGATGCTGAACCCTTATTATGGGCTGTTCCAGTACTCCCGCGACGACATCTACACCCTGCAGATCAACCCCGACTCGGCTGTCAACCCGGTGAGAGATTGGGGTGGGGGTGTCACACAGCAATGCTGGAAACGGCGCACACCTGGGACAGTTTCAAGATGGCACGTGTGCTTTTTCTCTGTGCGTTGGCTTGGCGGTTATTTCAATGGTGTTATCACTGGGCAGTTTGCATCGACAGATCTGTCCTGTCCAGCTGTGTCCAGGATGTAGGAGGTTTTTAATCGGTGTTTTGTACAGAAACCCCAGCCGCCGACAACTTGACCTCGGCACAGGATGGATTTGTTTTTCCCAGATTCTTGGGACTTATTTGTTGTGAATTCCTTGCCGTGTTTTGAGATCGGATAGCTTCCTTTTGTCTTGAGAAGTGTAGCCCCGCAGTTCAATCCGGACGCGGGAGGTCAGAGCTCTCCCTCCTCAGGGCTGAGGTCAGAAATGGCTCATCTCCCCCCCCCACCTGTCCCCCCAGGAGCACCTGTCGTACTTCCACTTCGTGGGCCGGATCATGGGCATGGCGGTGTTTCACGGGCACTACATCGACGGCGGCTTCACGCTGCCCTTCTACAAGCAGCTGCTGGGCAAGCCCATCACGCTGGACGACATGGAGTCCGTGGACCCCGACCTGCACAACAGCCTGGTGTGGATCCTGTACGTGCAGCCGGCTCTCCCCTGTCGCCGACCCCGCGCTCCCGCGCTCTTGCCTTCCCCCCGGAGAGGAACAGGCGCGGGCCGACGCCGCGCTGGGCCGTGCCAGCTGGTGGCCCTCTTCAGGTGTCTGGGGTCCCGCCTGCAGAGGGCCCCACGCCCGGAGCGTCCCTTCCTCTCTCTCGCTCGGCGGGGAACTGACCTGTCCTTGCTCCCTGACGGCCTCTGTGCCCGCCGTCACGGCTCCCCGCTTATTCAGAAGCGCCATGTGAATTAGTCCGGGGTTTCTTGCCGTTTCTCCCGGGTTTGCGTCGGATCCACCCGGAACGACGGCAACGGCTTCATGCAGCTCATTTTTCCCCTGCTGTAGCGCCAAGAGGAGATAGATGAGGTTTTATTGTCCCCCGAGGGAAATGTTTTATGCGCACACAGCACTCCTGTACATTTAAAAAGAATGTGACCAAAAAAAAGAAAGGAAAAACATTGCATATTATTCTGTTACAAAAAATAAGAAAATAATGATCATGAATAAGCAGTGTCACACTTCTTGTGTCTGGTGCTTCACCTCTAAAGGAGAGGTTAAAAAATAAATGGCTGTGTTTATACTGAGAGGCACTAAAATCATTGAGATTGAGATGCTTTTAGTGCCTCTCGGTATATCATAGAAGACGGCTTTTTGTTCAGAATATATACTGAAATGTTTTTAATCGTTTCATGCTCTTCAGCATATTATTTTTCCTTTCTAATATTCAAGGCATGTTAAAGCTGTTAAGATGATCGATGTCTGGATATGGGCCTGTCCCATAGCGTCACCATGTAAAACTTCTTCATTCCCCTCGCTCAGAGACAATGACATCACCGGCGTTCTGGACCACACCTTCTGCGTGGAGCACAATGCCTACGGGGAGATCATTCAGCACGAGCTGAAGCCCAGCGGGAAGAGTATCCCTGTTACTGAGGAGAGCAAGAAGGAGTATGTCAGGTGAGGACAACCCACAGCTGGGAGGACAGCCCTCCTGTGTGTGGAGAGTCCCTCTGCTGTCTCCACGCTGCAGAGCAAAGCAGTGCTGCTCTTCATTAGAATAACTCCGCTAGCTGGCACTGGTTCATTTTGTTCATTGATATCAATGTGAGGTCGCGTTCTGAACGCCGCAGCTGGTTGAAAGATGAGGTGTAAGCTCCTCCGCTGACCGCGGCGAACCTCCTGTCCTCTGCAGGCTGTATGTGAACTGGCGGTTTCTGCGCGGGATCGAGGCCCAGTTCCTCGCCCTGCAGAAGGGCTTCAACGAGGTGATCCCCCAGCACCTGCTCAAGTCCTTCGACGAGAAGGAGCTGGAGGTAAGGCGCGCGTCCGCCGCTCGCTGTTCCAAAGGCGCCCGGGGGCGGGAGTCGTTCTTGCCGACTCCCGGGGGAACGCTCCCTGCCCGCCCCGGCGCAGGCGGCGGCGCCACCTGCACTTCGCAGAAAATTTGCCCCCTCTTGACCTCTCCCGGCTTTGCCGTTCCGGTCTAGCTCTTTAACTCCTCGCTCTCCTCCGTTTTCCCGCTCGCGCCAGCTCATCATCTGTGGCCTGGGCAAGATCGACATCGCCGACTGGAAGTCGAACACGCGGCTGAAGCACTGCACGCCGGACAGCAACGTGGTCAAGTGGTTCTGGAAGGCGGTGGAGAGCTACGACGAGGAGCGGCGGGCGCGGCTGCTGCAGTTCGTCACCGGCTCCTCCAGGGTGCCTCTGCAGGGCTTCAAGGCCCTACAAGGTAGCGGTCCGAGCGCGGGGCCGCTCCTGGCCCCCCGCCGCCGGGGCTGGGCTGAGCGCTGGGGCGGCGGGACAGCGGGAAGCTCCGCCAGGCGGAAGGCGTGGTCCTCTGCCGCAGCCTAGACGTCGCAGGGGAGCGGCGGCGGCTTCTGTGACCCGCTCGGCCTGTGAGCCCGGCTACATGAGTGGGGTGGTCTTGCGCCGCTAATGGCTGGTGACCTGTGACCTGGACAGCGTTGAGAGCAGCAGGGGAAAGCATGAGCGCCAGCGTTCCTCGACTGCCTGCCTGCCTGCGCTTTCCGCTGGGAGAAACCGCTGGGTTTTAAGTCTGGAGCTAGCGAGAGCAGCGTGTATTCTGTGAACCTGTCCGTGCGTTTGTGGGTCGTATCCAGCTTGACTTCTCGCTGGGTCGCATTGATCCTGTCGTGCTGGCAGTGTGAGGGTGAGGGCCAGCAGCTGGCGACTCCACACACAGCTCTGTTCAGCACCCTCACTCTGGAGCTCAGCTGAGCCTGTCTGAGCCGAGCCCCACCTCCCGCTGCAGGTGGTCTTTACCTCTCGCAGGCTGTTCGGGATCACGGTGAAGGCAGAGAGGATGGAAGGCTGGCGGGGATGGTACAGCCGGGCAGCAAATGCATGCAAATCATTTTTCAGAAAACATGGTTGTGTCCGAGGTCTGCTACAGAAAAGGAAAATGGCATCTCCTTAAAACGTTAAAACAGCCGTTTTGCTTTGCATTTATTAATGGCACCTACAAAGCCTGCAACCATAGCACAGTTTCAGAAACTAAATCTTCACTCATGAGTAATCGATCAGTAAAGTGATTTATACATTTAAGGAAACTTATTCCTTGGGGGCAGAAGAGGTTTTGATGTTTTAGGCGGATTCTTGATTTACTTTAATTTAATGAAGTTGTTCCAAGTCTTTAGAAATGCCGATTCTGTGGCGCCCGGAGGGTTGCACACCTCGTCAGGACAGGCAGACTGGGCGACGCATGGGCGCGTGCTGAAACCTGCTAGCTTGAGGCTCACGGATGAGTGGTCTCTGTAAGACCCGGTTGGCTGGAGAGCCGGGGGCTCCCCAGGAGGAGTCGGCCTGCGACCGTGATCCCCGCAGCTGCCGCACGCCCCGGACTGCGTCCGAGTGCCGAGGAGACCGACGCTCGTGACGGCGGGCTCCTTGCGGAGCTGTCCGGGGAGCGCGCGGGAGGAAGCGCCCGTCGGCTTCCAGCGGCAGCCGGCGCTGCTCTTCATCCTCTGCAGCCTCTTCCTCCTTCCTCTCCGCGGGGACCCCCGTCTTGTCTCAACCCCCCTCACTTTTATTTCTCCCCCCCCCCCTCCCCCGTAGGCGCGGCTGGGCCCCGGCTCTTCACCATCCACCAGATCGACGCCAGCACCAACAACCTGCCCAAAGCCCACACCTGGTGAGTCCCGCCGCGGCCCGGCAGGGAGAGGGCGGCCGCGGCCTGGCCGGAGCTCTTCCGCGATGATCTTAAACCCTGCAAATCTAATTCAAGCTCCCCTTCCACTGAGTGTCCTTTTGTAGGGAAAATAGTTCATTTACTGATTGAGATATTCAGGTGAATTCGGTCCTCATCCCCTGGAAGGATAGTGAGCAGGTTTTTAATCCTTGTCAGGTGGGGGGGGGGGCAGGCCGTCTCAACCCAGGCCAGTGGGCTGATTTCAGGCGTTTTGTTCCCCCCTCTCAGCTTCAACCGCATCGACATTCCTCCGTACGAGACCTCGGAGAAGCTTTACGAGAAGCTGCTGACGGCCATCGAGGAGACGTGTGGCTTCGCCGTGGAGTGAGGGGGCCCCCCCCGCCCCGGGACGCCGCCTGTGACCCACCCGCCTGCGGCTGGGCATGCTCAGCCCGCGCCCTCCCTCGTGGGCACCCAAGCCCGGCGCCGCTCGCCCTCTGCACCACCCTGGAGGCACCTTGTGTGGCGGAGGAGTCGCGTGGCCTGGAAACGCCCCTTTCCGCCCAAAAAAAGACGAGAAAAAAAAACACAGTCCCCTGGCCTCGGCCACAGGACGCTCTTTCAGCTGCTAGAACTAAGACGTTAACTATCTGGAGCGTGCAGAATGCTGGCTGTTTTGTTTTTTTTTTGTTCGTGACCCTGACAGTTAAGACAGTGTTCTACATAGTATTTCCTCACTTACAGAAACAGACTACTACTGTTTATTTTAGTTAGCCATTTAGTTGTTTTTTTTTCCATTTTTTTTTTTGTTCCTCATGTTTTTCCTTCCACACAAACGCAAACACGGCACCAGGTTAAGAGGAGGGATCTGAGGCAGGCAGGGAGCCTCGTCGCCATGGAGATCTCTTCGTGTTCTTTGTCCTGTTGCTTGGAAACCCAGGACTGCATGTACATCGCTGTGCTGCACAGACTCTTGGGCATCTGTGAAGACTGGACCATTGGCCAGCATTCAGTTTCGGGCCCTGCCTGGAGACGGGTCCACACTGAAAGTTAGTGCTTCCGGCTGGAGAAGAGCCCCCTCTTACAGGGTCTCCGGTATCTTTTTCCATCATAAGCCATTCAGGGGCTAACAGGCTTTGCAGATCGACCTGGCTGAAAGCATTGGGTTCTTTTTCAAAGACAGACATCTAAATATGTTTCTCTTGTAAACCAGTGTAAAAAAAAAAAAACAATCTGTCGGCTGCCTCTGTTAAATACGTTGAATCGTGTTATTTTTATATTGAAGGGAAATAAAAAAAACTAACAAACTAAACATTATTCCAGGAAGATAAAAGCAAAGCATCCTAGTCATCCTAGAATGTCCTTATTAATTGTTAAAAGTATTGATGTTTAAATTATAGACTGTGTGTGAAACAAACCTAAGCTTGAATGAAGTTCATGGACTTGTGGGGGGAAAAAGGAAGTAGGGAGAGGGTTCCAAGAGGAAATCATGCTTAAAACAATGAAATATTTACCTTGAATAAAGTCCTCGTTCATCATTTGAAGTCGTATTTTTAAATTGGTCTATAAATTGAATTGCAATCTTAGGAGCAAATCTGGTGCCACTGGTGTTTTTGAAAATGTGAATGCTCTGCCTAAAGAAACTTGTATTTAAGGTAAAATTATTCCATGTTTTAAATACGAGCTCACCTTTTGAAAAAAAAAGCAGGAATCATCCTTGCAACTTTAGAGCACTTTAAGATGTGTGTGTAGGGGGGGGTGTGAGGAGATGGTTCTGTCATGGTTTAAAAATGAATACCCTAGTGTACTCCCCTGTATAATTTAAATATATACACTTGCAGAAGGAATTATTGCAATTCTGTATCTGGAACAAATACAGCGTTTGAGTAACTTCTGGTCAACTTCCCTCCTATGTTTATTGAACACTCCTTCATTGTAGCAAGTGCCAATTACAAGATTCTCACGCGTGAACTGCAGGCCAATGTTACAACCTCATGACAGTCACTAGTTTATTCACTGCAGGTCCATGAGCACTTTCTAGGATGAATGACTGTTTATTACACTTCTAAAGCATATAGTGCTGTTTCAGGTGCACAATGAAAATAGTTTGCACTGCAACTGTATAGGAATACACCTGTAACTTAGAGTTGTCTCAATTTATATTTTGTATATGCTGGCTCTTTGTACCCTTTAAAAAAGCTACATGTATCCCAGACCTCAGCTTGCTCTGTGTTTCTCAGGTGATGCCATCTTTAAAAAAAAATGGCAAGCCACTGGGCAAAAAAAAGAAAGAAAAGGCCTCACTCACTGCCACCTTTCTTCCTCACCCTACCTGCTGAGAAACTGCCATTCACAAATCTAGGCTGTTAAACCGTGCCCCCCACCAGACTATCAGTCCTGTCCAAGTGATGGGCTTCCTCTGTTGTCTCCCTGCTGGCTATCCCACATTCCTCACCTTCACCACCAGCTTAATTTCCCCACTTTTGCTAAAACCTTTATAGCTGCCTGTCCATAGCAATCTAATTATGACCATGGACTGTTCTTAACTTGCATACACTCAAATGTATTTTTCACCTTTTTTTTTAAGTAACTGCAAAACAAATTGTTCAGCTGCTGGGTGAAGAACAATATCCCAGGATGGTGCTTTTGTATAGTACAGTTCATATTCAAGGATCACAGAACCTTTAATTTATCCTTAACTTAAAGGACAAACATTTTGCACAGTTGCAGACTTAAGTTGCTTAACTGAATGGGCAACTTTAATCTATTTACCAAATAGTTTATGGACTAATTTGACATCTATTTTTGCCACATGTCCAGTACATGCATACTGTTCCCCTGTTCCTTCCAGAGACTTTTTTTTTTGATACGTCAGCAAGTTGGTGCAGTCTCAAGGAAATGCGTGTCCATCCACGCGTCCGTTAACTCATCTATTGGAGGAGCCTGTGGGGATACAGCCTATTGCTTTGTTGCAGGCTCTGTTCTTCAACTTGCAAACTCTTCTCCTAACTGACCAGTGCAATGTGTTGTATGTAACAGTTTATCTTTTTTTTGTTTTAATAGAGTATTGTTTTGTGTAATTAGTTTAACTTACCTATTACTTTCCTCTAGCATTTAAGCCACAGTGTTTTTAGTTTTACCATTTCCATTCAGTTTGTATTTATTACAGTGTGTATAGCATTGATGCCTGCTGTACCTTTTCACCCCACCTGTTAACGCTTTAACAATAACACCTGTATGAAAACCAATATTAAAAAAAAAATCTTAACTTTCTTGTATCCATGCAGAAGATGAGCAATAAACTGTATGCTGTTTGCACCCTCACAGCATAATGTTTAATAGAACTGTATACCATGTCTTCTTTATTGTCACAGAACAATTGTGGAATTTAAAAAAAAAAGCATTTTAAAATTGATTGGCCCCAATTGATTTTTGCCCCTTTCACACATGGCACTTAGAAACTTCAGTGGAGCATCCCCCCTAAGAAAAAAAACAACTGGACTACAATTGTTTTCCTTAAGAGTACTTCAGTAAAATACTCATGTCAAACTTAATTTACTGTCTCAATGCTGGATTCAAATTGATGTTTTCCAAGATCAGCTTGAGCACTTAAATAAAAGCAATAAACAGTTTCAATACAGACAGATGGCACTTGGCATAGTTCAATATATCAATAGGCTATTGTGGTTTTCCCTCTAAAGATTTGTCCAATATCTCCACCTAGTGGCAAACAAAGCTTGCAAAGATACTTCAGCAAAAAAAAAAACAGATTAAAAGTTTTATAAATAATTTAAACCTGAAATTTAACCTCTGTACAGTAATTTACAATTAAGACATTAGAAAAGGAATAGCCAGCAGGTCATAAAAAAAAACAAAGGATTAAGGATTTTATAAAATCTACACCAATCTTGCAAGAGAAGGCCTGTTAGTGTCATCTTGTATCGACTTCACAGTTTCATATTTGTACCTTTACCAGTTAAAAAAAAAAGACTAGTGCACAAAATGTAATAAAAAGTTAACCTTAAATAATTTAGATCGAAAGTGTCCTGTGGGCAGCAGCGAGGAAGAATTAAAACTGTAAAAGCAGTTCATAACAGATGGGACGTGCTGTACTGGAATGAAGCCATCTGTACTCTGCGTCGTAACCTTTCGATTTCCAGGTTGCGGAAGGAATCGTCGTCGTCATTGTGAATGATGAGCTGCTGCAGCTCCCTGATCTCACGCTCCATCTTGGAGCGCAGCTCTTTCTTCATTTTCTGGAGAGCCTGCAGAAGAGATGAGGAGGGGTATATGTGTGAACTGGCTGCTGCAGGAGTTTGCTGCTTAGAGCTGGTCGCACCATCACTGCCTCTTAGAGGAGCCTTTCCTTCCCCTCTGTGGCTTAGCTTTAGATTAACCCATCCCGATTCGAAGCATAAAACTTTGTGATTGCCATCGCTTTTCAAAATAAGAATGCAAAACAAAACCATTCCTTAATGTACAGCTCCTTAAAAGGAGCCCCTGAGTTCAGGCATATCTAGAGCTCCTTTGCACTGATCCTTAAGATGCACAAGGGTGTACGTACCTTCTCCTGTGCTTTCTTCCTCACTTGAATCTCCTGTCTTTCTTGTGCAAGAGTTTCTGCCAACAGTGAAAACTGGGGGGGAAAAAAAAGCATTCTGCATCACTTTCCTTAAAACGGACCCTTTTTCCCTGCACAATCCAGCCTAATGCCGAGTAACAACTCATCACAGGAGCACACAGAGAACTTTGGAGGCTTTTAGAATCTCTGATAAATCTAAAGTATTTCCTCCCTCATTCAAATGCCTTTTGGCCCAGGTGCCGCAGTGGCCTGTCCCATGACGGAGTATCCCAGCATGCCTGCTCTTCTCTTCTCTTGCCGGCTGCTGTAGGTGCTGCTGGGACGAGGTGCAGGAATGCAGGCAGGTGCAGTACCTGGTCCCGGTAGTAATTCTCCATGGAGTCCAGCTCATCCCTGTGCCGCCGCTGGTGCTCCTGGCGCTGGGCCTTGGCGTAGGAGCGCAGCTCCTGCAGTCGCTCCTTCTGGATGCCCAGGCCCTCCTCGAACAGCTGCCTGAACATCTGCAGAGAACAGGGGAGCGCCGTCAGTGCCGCAGGAGGCCCGGCTCAAGGCGCCGAGCCAACGCCAGTGCCGCGTCTCGCAGGTAACCGACCTCTCTGATGACAACGGCACCAAATAGATGAATGCCGAACTGTTACATTAATCGCGAATACAATTTCAATTTTAAGAAACCATTTTTTTTAATTCAATTTAGAAACGTCTCGGAGGGAACAAACCCAGCCCGCCCTTCTAACAGCGTCACACGGTCTTATCATCTGTTCCACCACCCAGTCATTTAGCTGGAGCATCCACTCACGGCAGCGTTAACACAGTGCCCGAGCTTATCCCAACCCTGCACAAAGTCTCCCACACGGTCGCCAATACTCTAACTTTATGCAATAAATGAGAAAACTGCTAAATGAACTGCTGAACCACTGACCCGTGACTAATTCAGAAAGTTACCTGGAGAAAACTTTGGTTTGGTTGGAATCATTATTTTCTACAGAGAGATTACACTCTGCACGTGCCTAAAAACCACAGGAGTCGATCTAATTCCACAGGGCTTCACTGGCTTATCAGAGGTCACTGCACAAGGCCGAGTGCTGCGCTGATGCTAGTCAGTCCTCTGAAAAAATGGTTTTTGGGTGAGGACTGCCCGAGTCTTCCGGACAGAGGATTTTAGCACTGTTAATACCCCGGCTGTTTGGATACACATGGAGAACTCGGGAATTTCATTGAAAACGGCTCTCACTGCACTCATGCGAGGTAGAGGAGAGCAAGAAGAGATCTGCGAGCAGCAGCCCACCTTCTCCTCGCGGGTCCTGGCCCTCATCATGCGGGCCTTCAGCTGGACGTGGTAGTCATCGTAGTACTTCCTGGCCCGGGCGATCTGCTGCCGCTGTTCTTTCATCTGGTTCTGGGCCGATTTCTGCTGCCGGATCCGGTCTTTAAAATCCCTCTGGTAAACGGAGAGATTGGCACGTTGGAGTTCAGGCCCCCGCGGTCACAGCAGTGTTCTACACTCCCTGCCAGAGCAAGCTGCGCTTTGCATTTTGGGGAAGGACCGAGCGGCAGCGACACCGTTGCGTGCCTCAGGCGTGGGGCCGGAGTCCCGGGGGGGGCGGCACGGGACTCACCAGGCGCTGGTTGTGCTCCTGCTCCTTGCGGATGATCTCCACCAAAAGGTCGTGCTTCCTCTGAGCGTCCTCGACCTGCGGCAGGGCAGAGGGACACGGTCAGACAGCGTGCAGAAAGAGAACGGAAGCGAAAAGCAGGGAAAGTGGCAAATGGGTACAGAGTCAAAAGCAGAACGAGCAGAGAGGCCAGCTGCTGAGGGCACTGCTATCTGTGCACCAGCAGGGGAAAAAGGGCATGAGCCGGGAGTGAGGCTCTCAAAACATGCTGAAACAAACCCCCAACACACGAAACAAATCTGATCCAAATCAGATTGTCCAAATAATATTCCAACTTCTAACTTTAAAAAATGCGTCTTCTACAATAACTTTATACGGCGTTCAACCCTCAGGCGTCCTACCTGGCTGGTCAGTTTGGCTCGGCTGCGGTCGCCAGAAGAGGCGCTACCCAGGCGTCCCACCTGCCGGAGCTGCTGGTTCCACATCCTCTTGAGAGTGTGGGGGGACAGCTGCAGGTGGGGGAACTCCTCCAGCAGCAGGGGCAGCAGGTCGTTCTCTTTAACCTTCACTGGGGAAATCAGACACTCAGACGGTCAGAGAGATTAAGGGCACACAGGCGAGTGGGAAAAGTGAGCAATGGAATCCACTTCTACAAATTCATGACAGTTTAAACGATAACAAAGATTTGAATTCTTAAAGATAAATTTTGCAGCTCTAAGAGAATTGTTTCTCTGACATTTTTACATATGAGAACCGTGAAGTGTCAAATCCTTCAGCATACTACTTTTAAGAGCTAGCTTGAAGACATTACATTTTTTTTTTTACATTAGAGGGTTATATTATAGTCATATCAAATAACAGATGGTAAAACTAGAGCCAGGTGAAAAGTTTCTTACTGGGTGGGGCTTTTCTGGGAGGGACGCTCCCCCGGGGCGCTGTGGGCTTCGCCGCCCGAGGGGTGGTCCTGGAGGAATAGACACGGGCTGGTTTCGGGGTGCGGGGAGCCTCCTTCTGGAGGATCTGTTCATACTCTCTCAGCTGGCGGACAAACAACAACGTTCAGGAAACCATCTCGGCAGCCAGGCAGGTTCAGCTTGATTAAGAAAGACCTTTTGCGTTACAAAAAACGACTTCAGAGAATCCATTCTAGAAAGAGTCTGAAGCCTTCTGCCTCGGATTAACGAAAACATTTATAAAGGAAATGCTCAATCTCTGCCGCCTGTATTTCAGCAGTCTGTTCCGAACAGCACGCGATTAGAACATCAGAGCTGGCATCAGTACAGCAGACTCCTGCTGTTGCCCTGTCTAATAAAGACACCGTCCTGACACAAGCTTCTCTAGCCAGCTGGAGCTTTTCTGGAAATGTGGAGAACTTGCCATACTTACAGCTTCCTTCGCCTTTCCTCTTTCCTGGGTAATTTGAATCCGCTCCCGCTCCTCGTACCTCCTTAACTCATCCTCATAGGCTTTCCCTACAATCTAGACAAAAACACACGCCCAACGTCAACACCTGCTCTGCAGGTTCACACACAGTTACAGCTCAGGCACACGGCTAAGCTTCAGGTGTGGAGTAACCACATTGTGGGACTTCAGGCCCTCCGAGAACAATGAATGGGGCAGCCAAGTGCGGTCTGTATATCAGTGTCCCAGAACGAGTACTATCTGCAGGTCCAAGGCGAATTCTGAATGTTAATGCATAAAGTTCAATTAACTGAAGGTTCTAGGTTCCTTGAAAAAGAGTCTTGATCAAACAAACATTGTTTTTCACAAATCCGCACATCTGACTAAAATACTGATCCGGTATAATGGTTTGAGTGACAGAAAATAATTCACTGCCGGCGTTGCATACGCTGGGCAGGAAGCAGAAGTGATATGGGGCTCCTCTGTGATAAGGAGGAGGTGGGGAGAGACTCTGCAGCTCCTCGCTGGCTGTGCGCTCAGTGTGAGCGGCGCTGGGACTGGCGGCGCTGGAGACAGCGAGACTGCTAGCTTCAGCACTTTCAGCAAAAGTGGTTTGACGATTTTTTTTTTTTTAAGACTTAAGGGCTTACTAAATAGGAAGTCACTAAATTGCACTAAGTGAAGTGATGGGGACAACTGCATCACCCAATATCCCAGTTTGAGTTAGTGATGACTCATGTTAATAAAACGTCCCTATTCTCATTCTCACCCTGACAAGCCCCAAGCCCCCACCCATCCAGATTCCAGCCCTAGCTCTCATCTTCAGCCTAGTGAGGAGGCATGCGACAGCAGTAGTTCAAGTAAGTATCTGCGTCAGCATGCGTAGGCTGCAAAGGAACAGGTAAAGGTTTATGCCATGCTGAAAAGAGAAGAAAAACACGTTTCGGTTGTGGAGCCTAAAGATAAGGCTCTTATCTTCTCCTTTCGGCCTGCAATAAGCCTGTACTTGTTCCTTTGCGGTATACGACAGCTCTGGGGAGACCTGATGGACAGAAGTCCAGCAGGGCCAGAGCCGGTGAGGTGTCTCACCAGGCCGCTCTGCCTGTGTGTCTCCAGCTCGGCGTGGGCATGGCGCCGCGCCCTGGCCAGGTGGTGCTGGGCCTCTCTGTGCAGCGCGTCCTCGAACTGTGCCTGCAGGGGGCGCCGCGCCGGAGGGGGCGAGGGGGACAGGGAGCGCGTGCGGGAGGACTTCTTCAGCTGAGGCTCGTCTGCAGACGGACACGGCGTGAACAGAGAAAAGCCACGTCAGAGCCTTGCTATCAACACTAACTTACACTGTTCCATTGTTGAAAAAGCCACAGCACACTGGCCCTCATTCATTTCGGTCTAAAATCTCTAAAAGGCAGGGAAGATCAGGTATGATGATCTTAAACCTGTCTGGCAAGTCGACGAATCACGTCTCATCTTACACAAAATGCATTTCCAAAGGTATTAAAAATGGCCAGGAATAGTATATTTCCCAATTTTTTTCAAATTATGAAGAGTTAAAACAAGTGCTTCATAGCAACAGTTGAACTGAAATGAAAACAGACAGGGGGTGTGAAAGAATCGGGATTTTTCTCGCACTCATGCCTACCGGTCTGCTTTTTTGTCCTGCGACACTCCATGACACTGTCGCTGTGATGAGACAGCTTGTCCTCCTCTTTCGTCTCTCCGGCCTCCGTGGTTTCTCCAAGTGCCTGCTTCAGCATCTGCAAAGACCAGATCTCAGGCCGGAGGAAGTACAGGCCTCACGAAGAGGAACTGCACTGTTCCTGGGAGTTGAACGACTCTTTTCAACACTTAATGCCCGTTTCTAACTTTGCAGCGTCCATCTGTTTTCTAACTGTTTCTTCCAATTAGGCTCCAGCTCCCCTGTGACCCTATCAGGGTAAACAACAAGCACAAGGCAGGACACACCCTGGACAGGATGCCAGTCCATCACAGGGCAGATCACACACACTCACCCCAGGGCCAGTTTTTCCAGAAGCCAATTAACCTCCCAGTATGTTTTTTGACTGTGGGAGGAAACTGGAATTGAACCCAGGTTACCAGCACTGCAAGGCTACACTAACCACTGAACCACCATGCAGCCCACATGGGCCCCAGATTTTTAATTAACCAGAATGCTTATGAACCAGAATCAACAAAAACAATATCACTCTTTTAAACAAGAATCTTATGTGAAAACAAGTGACGCATGATCTCGCTCCAATAAAGAACATCACTAAGGATCTCAAAGCAGCTCAAAACAGCTGCGCTTCAGTAAAGGCATCATCTCCAGGGAGGAATGCTGCAGGTGTTCAATTATGTACCGAACACCACAGAGGACGGCTGCTTTTTCCTGGAGATCCCGGCCAAGGTAAAAACACAGATGAGGGCTCACCAGGTCGAGTTCCTCCAGGCGACGGGACAGTTTCTCGGACATCTCCTGCAGCTCCATCTCCGCCTGCCTGTTCTTCCTCCTGCGCCAAGATAGGGGCTCCTCCCCGACACCCCCACTCGGCTCCCCGTCAAGCACAGAACTCTCACTTAGAGCAAACACAAGGCAGCCATCAGACTGCTGATCCACAGGTAAGAAGAGGCATTTGCCTCTGTAATGCTCAGGCTCCTGTTTAGGATGCTTGACGGTTTGGCATCATGCTAATTAACCTCATTAGCATTAATCATTAATGCAGTGATATTGCTTCCCGTTTAAATTGTGCTCTGCTCCAGTGCTGGAGGCAGTGCTTGCCTGTAGTCAGCAAACAGCACAGTACAGCACTCTGTACATTTGGAAAGCCAAGCAGTTTGCAAATTTGCTATCTGCAGACCCCGTGCCGACTCCCGAGAGGAAATGACATGCAAAGTATACATTTAAATATGTCGGACTCGGAGCTCTGATGTGCGCAGGGAGCTGTCACCTGTCTCTCTGCCCTCCGCGGCCCTGCAGCTGGGAGTCCTCCTCGCTCCCCTCCTCCTCTTCCTCACCCCAGCGCTGGGTCTCCCCCAGGCTGCTCTGCAGGGTCAGCAGCCGGATGTCAGGCTGCGTGCGGAAGGCCACCTTCTTGGGACCAACAGAAAGGGCCTGGAAAGAGCAGCAAGATAATTGAGATTTGAGTTTTCAAGGTATAAACAGTACACGAAGTAAACAAAATGGTGAGAACTGGGGGTTCTAAAATTAGGGTATCTCAGGAAAAGAACTGATCTCGCCCATTTACAGCCCCTTCATGCCGTAAAGGGGTCACAGTGTTATACCTGTTAGGAGGCAGTTGCCAGCCTGTCTCGGGCAGGGAGATGTCATGACAGATAAGGCCATAGAAAAGCTCAAATCTATTTCTGGTTTGCTGTGAATAATACAGAGTTTTAGTTTTATTGAGATACTACATAGAAGATATGCCAGTACAACACAGCACAAAAGTTTACATGGAATAATGAAATACGGATACTAATATATCGATAGATTCATTAATATATAAAAACGGCTTTAAAAAAAGAACACTATTGGTATACTTCGTATATACTTGAAACGGGGGTAAGTTATATTATGCACAGTACAATGGACTTAGACTGTAGTATATAAACAATAGCAATTGACTTATAAGGTTTACAGGTTTTAAGGTCACAGGTACAGGTACAGTCCAGGCTCTGGGGTACAAGAAAGCACGAGTGCACAGAAGGTACAGCTTATACCTCGTGTACACCAGGAGCAGCTGGGACAGTGAAAGCAGTTTCCAGAGTGTTCATTTAAACCACTGCCTTGTGCTCCATCACTGCTGTGCAAAGCTTTGACTGACCAAACACGCTGGGAACCTGAATTCTTGTCTAAGTTTAAAAGGTGCTACAGTGATGTGCAGGGAGGACACAGCTGAGCTCTTTCTGGTCTCTAGGAATCAGAATTTATAAATGAAAAAGAAATCGTCCTGATGCGCTTAATAGCGCTTTACAGGTACTGGGGATTCCACTCCACCACCACTGTGTAGCCCCCACCTGGATGAAGTGTTATAAAACCGAGGTGTTGCCCTCCGTTTATGATAACTCAAGACTATTCTTACCCTTCCACCAAAAAGCACCCCAGGACCCCAATCCTACCTCTGTCTGGTCTCTCTCCACTGCCAGGCTTGCTTTCTTCTGACTGGCACACCTAGAGCCACTGGATACAGATCTCTCACTGTCACCTGAAGACCCCCACACAGTCACAGACAGACACACAGAAACAAAGGGGTAAACTGGAAACGCACAGCCACTAAAGGGTTAAACCCCAGACTTCTGGCTCAAAACCGGAACTCCTCATTGTACGAAACCCAGCCAGATCACAGGGCTTGCAAATTAGGGAAGCAGACTGTGAGAGTTTTAAACTCACCCCCAAGCGAAAATGAAAGGGAATGCTACTCATGCACTGTGTGCCAGTGAACAAAAAAAATCTGAAGTAACAATGCCTGTCTGGTCCAAATTATAGATTCATTAGTACTGTTCATCACCACAGAAATTTCAATGCTCCCATCAAAAAAATGATAATTTCAAAACATATGCAAAAATAGCTTTACCCATCATAAGAAACTTGCCAAGTGCAACAAAATATACATGCAATTAAAAGCACAATTAAAAAAGCACCTGAATTTATCACATGACTTTACATTTGTGAACCGCAAAATACACCCAGTATACATCAGCTTCTTGCTTTTCTTGCGTGCAGGACTGCACAACAGTATGACGCATCACAATACAGATCCTACTGTATTACTGCTGTCCTTCTGTAACACCCTGTACAACACTCTCACCTGGAGATGGCTGAGAGAAATGATGGCCATTAGGTGCCAAGGTGTCAGAGAGTGGCCTGGAGCTGTCGCTGATCTGTGGGCGAGAGGAAGATTGTGATGTTGAAACCAGAATGTGATCTCCTGCCTGAGGAACACTGAGTACCAGGCAGATTGTTATTGCTTTCACAGGTCGCGAGACTTAAGCTCGTTGCATTTGAATTTGTTAAGAGGAGCCCAGCAGTCAGGGAGTCAAAGAGGAGGCTATTGTTATACAGCAGGGCCTCCAGGGGGGCTTCTCAGGAGTCAGACTCATTCACTGTGAATAACCAGCCACCATCAGCACAGACCTCGTCACCTCATCCTTCCCTCTCAAACTCTGTGTGCTCAGGCAGCTCAGTAAATCGACATGAAGCACATCTGAATTGGGATGAACTGAACTGTCCAGCAGGTCAGATCCTAGGACAGCTGGGGAAACCTGTGGCTTTCTAAAAACTCCCAGCGCAATGTAGGAAAAGGGAACTTGCAGAATGAAATGCCATCATGTTCCAGCTCAATGAAATGTTTATGGAGATGAACTCCTCCCTTACAGCTCACTTCCCTGTTGTTGTGAATGAGCTACAGCGCTCTGGAGGCACACCCTGAAACTACTTCTCAGTGGAAAACACATCAGCCTCTAAAATCGGCTTGAGGGCGTTTCCTTTCAGACAGATGCGTGCCAACTACAGCACAGCGTGCCACAGTGCTGGCAAAGTTACAGATTACACGTCTCTAAAGCATTTATTTTCCGCCGAGCAGGATCCCTTTGTTCAGAATTACTCAGATACCACAGATGACAATTGTATTTGGCACTGGGACTCCGCTTACATCCAACACATGAGGCTGTGGAAGTGATCTTCCAACAAAACCTTAATGTTAAAATATACAGACAGATCAGAGGCATATTATTTTAAAAAGAAAATTCCCCATTTAAAATGCTGTACAGGATAGGGGGCTGGTGTTGAGTTTTATGTGGAAGATATTCAGTGAGAAACAGCCTAGTAAGTGACAATGGCCAAGGTAAGAGTTTGCCAAGTGTTAAAACATCAGCATGTTCTAAGGTGACCGAGTCTCCACCACTGAAGTGTCAGTTTACAGAAATGACATCATACAGGAAAGAGGAATTCAACACGCCCTTTTTTTGCTCTGTGCTGATTGGCTGCTGAAGCCCTTGTGTTATTCCTACACAACCTATATACTGTACTGTATGAACAGCATGAGAATGGGTTTTCTGTCCTGCGGAAGAATTTGGATCTTTGAAAACCCAGTTATCATCTTTTCTTCAGAAATCACAGCCGCAGAGTCACATGAGAGGTTGTAAACATAATAAACAACATAACAATATCTCACATTGAATGCAGCATAAAATTGCTGTACTCTTAATAATAATATCCAGATGTCAATTTAACTTTACCCTCCCCTCTCCACGCAACAGTTTTGGGCAAACAGAAGTTAAAAAATGTAATCCCACTCCAGTGTCTAAGAAGGGTTAGTCATGCAGATGAGCAGGGTTGTTCCAATTTGAAATAACCTGTGAATTATTTACCTGACCCACAGTTGAACCCCAAAGCAAGTTTAAAGGGGACCTGCAGTCCCAACTTCTCAGACACGATATTCAATCTTGGTAACAAAATAAATTCGTTGACACTACAGAAAAATGTTACGATTTCTCTGTGAAAGTACCGTACGGTCGCCATTGCCATTGTTGTCACAAACCCCTGGTCTACCCACACGTGAGAGCTCCCCCGAATTGCGACGTGAAGCGGCCCTTCCTGCTCACTAGTCACTGTGATGTACTGTGATGTACGAGCGGATAAGTAGATAAGTACAGGTTGTGCAGCAGACATTTCGCCACAGAGATGTTCCAAAGTGATCTGCATGCACAGTGAACAAGTAGTATTTTTCTGCAAAATCGTCTCAAAACCAAGAGCGATATTTCTACTGGATTACAAGAGAGGTATACACAAGCCTGCTTGTTTACAACGTATTAGGGCCCCTTCACCTCCCCGGATGTTTGGTTGCCTTGTTCGGAATTGCCGACAATAGACAATAATGGTGATATGGCCCCCCGCCTCCTATTCTGCGAGGCAAGTCGGAGGTTTTACAAGTTACTGTGAACGTTTTACTTTCATCGCGGTTTGAAACGCACTCATCAGTGCCGACCCTTCCTGACCCCGAAATATAAAAATAGTGCTGCAGCCCCCCTTGAGAGGCGCTCATGTAAATAACAGGAACGGCTGGTTATCCAGCCCCAGTGACCATGCAACACTAATGCCACCAACTCCCGCATAGGTCAGATCTTCCCAGGGGTGGCTTCTGGGATTCCACAGCGCTCCCGTATCTCTATCGTAACGTGTCCTGCGGCGGCCCTGCTCCCGGACCACTCGGCGTGGCTCCTTACGGTTGGCATGGCCACAGCCTCCTCCCCCTCCTGTCGCCGAGCTGGTGCACCTGCAGGCGCCTGGCCGCCGCCGCCGCCGCAGGGGGGCTCGTCAGTCTGAGCGGGCTGGCAGGGGGGCCGCAGAGGAACGGCGGCTCGGATGGGCTCTCGCAGCTGAGTGCCGCTGCCGTTCCGCAGGCCCGAGGACACGGGACGCACTGGCAGGGCTGTTGTGTCCACCGCAACGTCTGTGGAACAAACAAACCTACAGTGGCAATAATGCAGACCAAAAATCCAGACTTCTCGACTCAGGACTGCCCTTAGTTTTCCAGATCTGTTTTACAGAAACATCTTTTTATAACATTACATAGCGATGCGTCTTCGGCATGCAAGTGGGCTTTATCTGTGTCCAGTTTTACCAGCTGCAAATTCCCTCAAATCAGCAGACACACTGCTGAATCAGCAGACACACTTGCTAAAGATGATGATTAATTCTGTATGAACATAGCCCAGGAAACCGAACCGCATTTCAATTTTTTGCCGCTTCGCGCTTTGCCTTTGCTGCCCGTCATGTCCAGGACAGGACGCTGCTGTTTGAAGGGCAGCTGCTCACCAGGCTCTCCGCTGCTCGGTGCCAGGGCTGCAGACTTGGCGCCGGAAGACCCCGCCACACGGATCTCACCAGCCAGTTCTGGACCAGCCGTCCTGTCTGACTGGCGGCCGCCACTCCTCCCAGCTGAAGAGCGAGAGCACATGGACCCTTTGTTAAGCATGTGTCCCGGAGAAGAGCTCAGTTTTTCAGGCCTATTTTAACCCAGCGGAAAAGGGCACAAAGCAAGGAAGGAGGTTAAGCAGAGGTCGACAGAATTCGGGGAATACCAGTGGAGAAATCCTAACTGAACGCCGTGCTGTCTTGTCTGCAATAACGCAGACGAACAACATCATGGCATTCAGCCAGCGGCACGCAGTACAGAGACAAACCAATAGTCTGTGCGATAACTCAACCCTGAGCAAACAACGTTTTTCTTATTCTCGGAGGATGCGTTGGCTCAACAAACAAAAAACAGGGCTAGACAGGAGCCGAGGCCTTGCACATTTTAATCTCTGTCAAATTCCTGGAGAGAGGAGATGAAGTACAAACTTAGACAAAGCTAAATAACTGGAGGCTAAGAGGACAGAGAATGTGACTGAGAAGGCACAATTATCTAAAGACTTCTTATTAAAACAGCAGCTTTAAAAGAAAACAAGTCACAATCAAAGCAGGAAATTATTTTAAGTAAAGCATGAAATAGATTAACTGAAACGTCCCCAACCAGGCAGAAATCACATGACTTGGACATGTTCTATAGCTCCTGGTTTAGCACCATTAGGATTAATTATGCTGTGTGTTCTGTGGACTTTTTACACAGCAGCCAATTAAAGGGTGTTCTGCCTAATGTGCAATCCCGCCTTATATCCTATTCTTCCAGATAGGCTGCTTCTCTGGCCAAGGACAGATGGAATGGTTCATTGACATTTAGAAAATGCCTTCATCCATCTCACCCTCGTTTTTGGCAGCGAAGGTACGGGCTGAGTCCCCAAGACGGATCAGCTCTGCTGTGGATTCAGAGCCTTCTGCGTCCCAGGATGCAGCTGAATATGGAGAAGACCGGACCGTAGATCTGCTGACAAAAGTTACTATCAAAACCAAAGCAAACAAGACAGACGATTATAGACCTTAGGCCACCGCCCAGATTTTCAAAGCAGTAAAACCCATTAAGCACATGAATTTCATGAGCTTCCAAACACTGGCATATCCAGATACGAAGAGTTTAATTTTCATTTAATTCCTCCTTGTGCAATTCATTTTTTAAAGAATCGTATTGAGAAAGGGAATTGTGATGTGGTCTCAGTAGTAAAAAGAAGATGGAGTCCAATGCGATCGCTAGAAGTTATTACAGAAATGTCATGTGTAATCTCTGAGGAATCAGGAATTATAGCAACAGAAGAACAGGTCGTGCAGAAATTAGACACCACCTGTGTTCATCAAAAAAAATGCAGTACAACCACCTTGTACTGCTGATTAATTCCGCGTCTTTCGTCATCACTGCCCGTAAGAACATGTTTACTTTCCATGAAAGAGAACAAATGCAGTGACGCCCATCGGCGTGTTTGGAAGGAGGAGCGGGATAAATTAAAAGGGCCTTTTCCGGCCTGCCAAAAAAAAAAATCATATTCCAACGCACAAGCAAACTGGAATCTGACCGCGGCTTGCAGCCAGCCTCGCTGTTGCTCTGCCTGCACTTGACTTCTACACCTGCTGCCACTGTTAGGGCACCACGGCGCGCACCCAGCCCCCCAGCTCATTAGCAAGAGCCGTTAGCAGTCATTACGCAGCGTATCAGATGTCAAAAGGAGGGGGAGAAAGGACGTGCTCCCACGGCAATTACAGGATGTCATTAACAAAAAACAACACACTGAGCCACAGTTACCAGCCAGCTGTGTGCAGTCTGATTGGCTGTGGAGTCAGGGCAGGGGGGGTTCTGGGAGTTGTCTTCCTTGGGGACTTTGTTCCCGGTACAGCCAGTTCAAGCCACTGGACTACTGAGTAATGGAGCCAAATGGGAATGACGAGCCCAATGGGCAGCTTCTCCAGGGCTCCCTGTGGGACAGCGGGACTGTACGGGGGAAGGGAGGCACTGCGTCCTCACCCTCTGGAAGACAGGGATCTGTCCTCTGCCAGGGTCCCCTCGTCCCTGACGCCCGTCTGCTCCCGCGCAGCCCCCTCAGGGGGACGGGGGGCTTCGCCGGACATGTGGCCTGGCCATTCTGTTCCAGGAGAGAGAGAAAGGAGAGGAGAGTGTTAAAGGGGACCTGCAGTCCCAATTGCTCAGACCGGTTATTAGGTTATTGGGTAAGAGAATAAATTTGTTGACGGTATAGAAAATGTTTACATATTTCAAATTAAGCACAAAATCGTGAACTCTGACACATCACTGACACATACTACGTGTTGTTGCGAACTTGCATTTGAGCTCCCACGAACTGCAACGTGAAGCGACCCTTCCTGCTCACTAGTCACCGTAATGAGATCTGCGAGCAAATGAGTAGTGCACTTGTGCAGCAGGCAAATGTTCACCACACAAGTGCTCCAACATGATCCGCATGCAGAGTTAACAAGTAAGTTCCATTTTTCTACAAACCATCTCAAAGTCGAGAGCAATATTTTTATTGGATTTAAAGAGATGTATTCACAAGCCTGCTTCTGTACAATGTAATAGGACTGCTTGACCTCACCGGATGTCTTGATGCCTTGTTCTGCGTCGCAGAACACAGTGCTGCGCACACATGGAAATTTAGTCTATTTTGTGATGTAAACATTTTACGGTTATTACACTCATCAATGCTGATTCTTTCCCACCGTGAAATGTAAAAATAGCGCTGCAGTTCTGCTTTAATCCATCTATACGAGGCCCTCCCCCACCTTGGTCCCTGTGACTCCATGGGTTTCTGCGTTTCGTACTTAGTTGCACTTTCGCATGTGTTGTGTAAACATGCAACATTTAAATTTCCTAAACGGATTTTCAGCTCCTTAAACATTGTACACGGAGTTGATTGGAATTGTCTGAAGACTTGTAATCTCCAAGCATTTCAGAAGTGAAAATGATTTAATTGTTCTTAATGTTCAGTAACATGTAAGGCAGACAGTTACGTGGAATCACAAGGTCTAAAGCAGATGTCACCGAGTCATAGAGAGAGCCTATTTCAGAATGTGCAATACTACAATGTCGAGCATGTAAATTAGGAAGTTACAAAATACATCATTAGCAACAAAGAGTGAAAGTCTCAAAGCACACGGTGTCTTAAGTTAAGCATGAAATGTATCTATTGCACTTTTCAAGAAAAATAAAACTGTAATAATCAATAAAATGAGTTACACATCTGTTCTTTTACTACGAGAAACTAAAAGCAAAAGCGTTCGATCACATGGGTTTCAAAGTCTAATTGCACTTGGTAATGAAAGTATATAGCTGTAGTCTGCCACACAGAGCAAGACTGGAGCACAGTCAAGTGCCGCCTTGTTCTGCGTATCGGTTTCACAACACGGACAATCCCAGCTTTTACAGAGTCGGCTTTTTACAGCGTCGCAGTTCACTTCTCGTAAAGATCCCACGGCTCAGACAAACTGCACCACGCAGGTATGGTTGATACTTCACACCTCACACAGGGTCTTAACTGGCCGCACACTGACACATCAGACTGGAAATGAGAATGCATTCTTATTCATATTAAATAAGACACTTAATAAGCACACCCACCAGATAATTTATAACAGGAAACGGTGGTGGAAGAACTAAACAACTGCCTTAGACAGACAGACAGACAGACAGGACAACACCACAGGCTGAGAGCTGGTGATGTTTTGCTCAGTAAACCTCTAACACTTTACTGTTAATCCCAGGAACAGCACGCTGAAGCCCATTACATCCAGCTCATGTGTGCTGATGAGCTAATGCAAACAGGGTCCTGCGCTCTTTCACAGAGCGAGCGAGCCTGGGAGATGAGCACACATGACAGCTCAGCAGTCCTGCCAGGCGGCAGAGCGCACAGCTCCCCTTCCACTCGGACAGGGCCTGCTGCCTCTGGCCCTGGAGACAAGGGCAATATTCTGCGTAGAGAGAGAAAAAGAGAGAAAAAAAAGAGAGAAAAAAACTCACCACCATTCTGGGACTCGTCATCGCTGATTTGTTCTGTGAGATACTCAAGTAGCCCATCAAAAATTTCCAGCAGATTCCTGATAGATTCCTTGTCTCCTCTGACAATATTTTCTCCTACAAACAAAAGGAGAACCAGACGTCTTCAGACTAACAGTGGAACGGTGAGGTGAGAGGCAGTGTGCATTCTCTCATTAAATATCAGACAAGCCTTTCCTGCTGCATCAGATAAACAGGCCTTTTCCCAAAATATTCCTCATAGAAAAACGATAGAGACCTTAAACCATCTGAAAAATCACACAGCAGGATGCTTTCCTGTTGACAGATAAACTGTCACTTGAAAGAAAAAAAACATCCATCTACATCTGCTAATTCCCAGGAAGCATTTACTTCTGCAGCTGATCTGCTACGCATCCTTAAAGACCGAGATCTGGGATTAGGTTGTGGTCAGAACAGGCCCCTGGGGCACTCTCTCTCACCTGTGATGTGTGAAAGGCTAATCTGCAGATAATCCAGTGCCAGGGAGTCTATCACCGACTGCACGTTGTGTATGTCATCTTCTTGACTTGAGGGAACAGCAATGTAGTCTGCGGGCAAAGATTTCAAAACATAATCAGCTGCACTTTGCCCATTCCTTAACAGTAATGGGTGTAAATTACTTGGCAAAACACACTGGAAACAGTGAACGGCCATGCTTTAATAATAGGGAGGATCACAGCCATTTTCTTTCATTTTACAGCTAGTTGAAATTCCTATAATTCCTTTCTTCGAGACAGACCAACCTGTTGTGTCATGTCTTCCTTTTTGTTTTGCATCTAAATGCACCAGGTTTCCTTACCTTACAGCAGAAATTCCTCTATACCCCTGCACAGCACAGTGATAGGGAAGAATGGCTTTGCTGGGGCAGGAGTAAATGCATGGCCCTGGTTTAGGACGTCAAAGCACAAAGCCTGTTTCTGTTCAGCTCCCCTCTACGCATCATACACCATTCTGGAAAATGAGGCATGGCTAATTCGGCCATTGCTGAAAGCAATTTGTTTTTCAGCAAAGGAAGCTAATTAGTTAATTGGATTGGCTTAGGATTCCATTGGTTTGGGAGGATTTGGAAACAAGTGGATACAGAATTGTACAAATATCCTGGCAAGCAATGGGTGGAAGGCAGGATACACCCTGGATGGGACGTCCATCACAGGACAGACACTCACACCAGGGTCAAATTTACCAGAAGCCAATTAACCTGCCAGTATGTCTGGACTGGGTGAGAAAACCCACATGAAGATGAGGAGAACATACAAACAGATAGCACCCCAGTCCCTGGTCAGCATGTTAAGAAAAAAAATGTTGAACAGTTACAGATGAAGAAGAATCCAAGAAAATGGTCAGTGTCTCAGAGGGGGCTGAGAGAAGGATTACTTCCCACAGAACACAAACTCACCTGAATTACCTTATTTTATGAATTTTCTAAGGTTTCAATATTTAGAAATACAGCACATCACAATCAATGTACAGTGGGAAAATGAGCTCATCACCACCATCGGACACCGACAGATTTCAACTTTAAGCGTTGCCTTGAGAAAACAAATAAGATTCTGTCACCTACCTTACTGGGAGCTTAAAAGAAAACAACAAGCCTCAGATCCTACTCTCATTAACCAGTCAAACATTGTCTGCCCAGTATCAACACCATCAAAACAAATAGCACACTTTTTGTTACCAAGTTCTTCGTCGGGAGTCGGTTCTAAATTTATCTTTCACTGACACAGAAGCATGTGATGCTGTCGATTGTCCTGAGGGCAAGACTCTCTGTTATTTGTATAAATGGATAGCCTGACAATAATAAGATCTTTTCATGTAAAAAAGCATGTTTAGCAAGCAGTAGGTTTATTTTTAGAAGCGTCCAGTTTAACTTTGTCTTCGTTATCTACCATCCTGCATGACCCATTCACAGGCCAGCACACCTAGGGGGGTGGATCTTTATTTAAACCGACCTTCTGGGTAGAGGGGTGCCTTGTGATTTTTGCCACATTCGCTGTGTTCCATTTACAACAACCAAAAATACGAACAAGTTTAATTCTTACCTGGGACCTTTTCTCCCAGAATAGCTTCATAAAGCGAGACAAAGACACTGGCGTCGCATCCTGTCAGCTTCTTCAGTCTCAGGTTAATATGACACTTGCTGAGGAGATCATTTGCTACTTCCACCCAATCTGTAAGAGATTTTGCGCACGGTAAGTTATCGGTGCATGTGCCCGGCGCACAGAATTGTGCCAAGTGTTGCGTTTTCACCGATCCCGACCGCGGGGGCTCGCTCATCTCTACACCCGGTCCGGGTGCGACAAGGTCAGACCCTGCTGGAAACACCAGATTACAATCAATGCCCGTTCTCCAGTTCCAGCTCGACGGCTGTGCTTCAAGGCGAGCAGGGTTCCCAGTGCCGAGCCGCTGCACCGCGAGTAATGAGATCAAAACTGCGCTGTGCAGCAGCTGCTGACCAGAAGGAGGGTGGGACTCCACTGTAAAGGGATTTCCATCTTTCTTTTGAAGGCAAGAAGAATCGTAACACTTCAGAGTTATAAAAAAAAAACATGTTTAGATCCCTCAAGGTGTCCTTTGGAGGGGTTGGCGTGATAAATATATGACGCAATATTATTGTTTTCATTTAAGGCAACCGGTAAAAGTAGTTCAGTTCAGTTTATTGCCATATGCACAAGGGAATGCTTATTTGCGTGTATGCTCCAATACAAGGACATTAAGGAAACAAAAAAAAACCATAAACACAGAACAGCAGCAGCAGCAACAAGTTAAACAACATACAATTAAAAAAAAACATCTGTGTGAGCCAGTGGTAGGGGTAGAGTTCAGTGATCAGACAGCTTGTGGGAAGAAACAAGCTGCCGGGTTACTAGTAGTAGTAATACTAGTAGATGGCAAACAGCGCGGCACCAAAACCATCTCGACTGGCGGATTGATTAATGTTCAAGAAAACTGACAGTGGCGTCCTAGCTACTGGTAGCTCGGTTTGCCATCGCTACAGACACACAAGCTGCGCTCCAGGGTCTGGAAAAATAAATTTACCATCCCAAACAAAACTGTGCAGGACCCCGGAAAGGGGGCTGTGGCACAAATCAAATGTAGAAAAAGCGTTTTGGCGAGAAAGGGGTGAACACAAGTCGGTCTATAAGCGTCACTAAATCTTTGTTGCTCATCGGCCAAGTTAGTAACTGTTGCCGCTGCAACAGCAGGGACCGGCGCCAACAGTAAAAACCGCCGCTATTATCCCGCAGTTAAAACACGATTCCCACTTCAAAAACTCCTTATACGTGCCGAAGGGTCAACGCTTTGTGTACAGGGACTCTTACTGTTGTACAGCCCCGAGTACTGTCAGCTACTAACCGTTAATTAATTTACAGCGCACTGTACTCTTCTCCCGAAGCGAAACAGTGCCACTGGCAGCCGACGATACAGTACGCCTGCACTATGAAGAGCAAACATCTATAAAAGAAAGGGAACGGCTTCTAGCAGCGAAGTGATTAAAAAAATAAATAAAATCAATAAAACTACACAGCAAAAACAGAACCACAACCACAACACACCCCCTGTTCTGTTGGGCTTCTTGTTTTTGCGATCTACCTGATCTATCAAAACACTCCGTGCTGATTTGTAATTTCATTCAACCCAAAGCGGGCACCCAGAAAAGTAGCCGAACAAAAGGTGACATTTTCTCGAAAGGCCCTTGTCCCATTCAACCCTGGGTATAGAGGGATATTTATCTTATCCAAACGGCGCTTTAAATTATTAAGCAGATGCAGCAGCTGTATTGAATACAGCCCCATCAGCAGCAGCAGCAGACCAGGACAGAAGACAGATAAAAATCTTTGTGCTAGCCCGTCCCTCGTCGTGATATAACCTCTCCGCGATCTGACAGCCTTTACAACCACATCTTTGAAGCACAGACGGAACACGGAACAGCTGGGCAAGACCGGTGAAGATAAACGATTTCGTCTGGGGTTTTATTTAAAAAGAAACGCAGGACAGGGTCTCAAGAGCGCCCTGTGGGTTAATCTGACAGAGGAGGGGTTCCTTTCCACTGACCTTTTTCCTCTTGCGTTCCCATGAATGGTATGTTCCCAAGGCAAATCGTTATGTGTCCAAAACCAACAAAAACGAGAAGTGCAGATGAGGTGGTGGATCTGAAGATAACGCACAGCTCTGTAGCTCAGCTTCACGGACTGAACCAGCCTCGGACATTTAAAACACGGGAGTCTTCCCATTGGCTGCCGAGAACAGCGCCCCGATCCCGGATATGACGTAAAGCCAACGGAACACCAAGAAGGCGTCAAGAGCATTTTTTCATTTTTTTTCCATTTAAGTGTCCTCTTCTCGCGATCTTGTTTGTAAAAATGCCGATTTTTTTTTCAGTTTATTTCACACTGCGCATTTCTTGTTTTCGCCCGTTAAAGGTGACGCCCCCATGACGTTTGGGTTGACGTCATTTCCCGGCAAAGGAAGGCACAGCCGGTTGCTGTGCTGTGCTGTCCTGCTGGCGATGCCTCCGAGCTTAGAAATAGACCCTTTCACTAAAACAAACTGTTTTTTTTATATAGGTGCGGTTACAGATTCCGTCCCGTTGGTGTACTTTTTGTAAAAACGGGATGGTTGATTCCAAGTGCTGCTACCAAAATGAATTTTACGTGGCAAAACACGTAAAATAAAAAGTCCAGGAAATGACCCAACTGCACACTTCCTTGGAGACGGATTAGACAGGGCTGTTATTTACAGAGACTCACTGGACACGCTGGTGACGGAGGCTGGGTCTTACACTGTAAATACATCGCGCAAATTGCGATTCAGACTCTCGGTGGGGTCGTGTACTTGAACTAGGCGATAGACTATTGAGAACCGGAGATTGTTTTTGTATTTCAATAAAGGAAACGGTGGTGGGTTGTATTGCCCGTGCCCGGGACAGGTGCTGTTTAACAAAATGCCTTGTTTGAGATACGACTAGGGGGAGGACACAAGTGGAAATTATTGCAACACCTGTACCTTTTCTGAAACAGATATTGAAAGAACATTTTCTTCTCCCGTCACGGTTCAACAACCTTCTGGCACTTGGTATGTTCTTGGCCAAAATAATAGCAGTATTCGTGGACTTTTGAGGAGTTCAGGGGGGTAGCTGCGTCAGCCTGCGCAGGCTGCAAAGGAACAAGTAATAGGTTTATTCCCTGCTGAACAGAGAAGAAAGAAAACACAACGTTTCGGCCGTGGAGCCTTCTTCAGGTGTGAAAAAGTATCCACGGCCGAAACGTTGAGTTTTCTTTCTTCTCTGTTCAGCAGGGAATAAACATGTTACTTGTAACTTTTAAGGATATTGTTCTTGGTGTTCCAAATCCAAATCCAAGGAAGTTCGTATAATGGTAAACGTCATTCTGATGTTAGCAAAATATTACGTGTAGAATTTAAAAAAAACTACAATGTGCTTTAACTCACCTAAGCTATACTCAAATTCACAAAAAATATTTTAAAAATAAGCTTGACGAGTTGGTCTACAAAAATCTTCTGGCATATAAATTTAATGTAACCCCTAACACCACTGAACCTCGGTACTGTGGAGAATTTGTTTTTTGTTTCACTCACCTGATGTTACCGTTGTTCTATCATGTTGTGTCATTTGTATGTAATAATAATAATTGCTTACACGTATATAGCGCTTTTCTTTACAGGTAATGGGGATCCCCTCCACCCCCACCTGGATGATGCTCCAGTCTGCTCCCCACACACCAGCTCTCAGTGGGGAGGAGAGCAGAGTGATGAAGCCAGTTCAGAGAGGGGGGTTATAAGGAGGCCATGACTGGTAAAGATCAGGGGGAAATTTGGCCAGGACGCTGGGGTAACACCCCTACTCCTTAAGAGAAACACCCTGGGATTTTTAATGATCACAGAGAGTCAGGACCTCGGTTTTACGTCTCATCTGAAGGACGGCGCCTGTTTACAGTATAGTGTCCCCGTCACTATACTGGGGCATTAGGACCCACATGGACTGCAGGGTGAGCGCCCCCTGCTGGCCCCACTAACACCTCTTCCTGTTTATGTATATACCCCTGGTTGTTGTATTTCCTTCCCCTTTTTGCATTTGAAAAATAATAAAAACCTTTTAAAAAAGTGTAAATTTCCTGGGCGGGGTGGGGTGTGTGGGTGGTTAGAAACGCCAACATTTGGCGCTGCTTTACACAAATAGGCGTGAGGGCGTGGAACAATCTACTCAACCACGTTGTCAAAGCCGACACCCCGGCTTCTTTCAGGAACGGGTGGATGGGGCGTCCGGATCAATTCACTGCCACCCACCAAACGGGCTTTCTGGCCTGAATGACCTCGTCTCGTTTGTGACCACGATTGCGAATGTGCCCCACGTCCCCACACACCGAGCAACAATAGTGAAAGACCCTCTAAAGGCAGTTAACACGACGCACCGACGCACTCCTGTCGTATTTTTTTGTTTTGTTTTTGGACTCAGACCAACTACTAAAGTGACGACGACGATTAACTTCTAATAACAAAGAACGCGTTTAAAATAACCAAACAACCCCCCCCCCCAAAAAAAAAAAAGATCCTAAGCCACCTACGTTATATAGCATTTTATGGAGCAAAACAGAAAATTGGTCATTGTAGTTGCCACTTCCACAGTACTTTTGTTTGTGTAATGCAACAGAAACGCTTGCTCTCCAACCCCATCCAGCTCGGCCGCCATTGCGCGCAACAGAGCAGCGTGAGGTCATAGTACCGGCTGCAGGCGGAGGGATACGCCATGTGTGCTGCGGTCTCGCGAGGCTCCGTTTCCTGTTGCTATATAAACCGGCTTCTGTGCGCGAGGAACCGGCATTTTCAGCGTTACCACTGCCGGCAACTGAGAGGAAGGATCCCGCCTAGGAAGTCGAAAATTTAAGAAATTAGCCAGTTAAACGCTGCTGTAACGCAAGAATATATATATATATCTATTTTTTAAATCCCAAGCTTTCTTTTTCTCGCATCATGCCTGGTTTTTCTGACAGAGACCGTGGGAGAGATAGAGGGTAAGTCGGGGGGTACGAATGTAAAATGGCTGACACGAGTTTGATTTGAAATAAAACGTGATGTATGTTTTGGGTTTGTATATTTTGCGCCGATTATTCTGCTTGTGAGTTAGTGTGGCTAGTAGTCGGGTTTTTTTTTTTTAGAAATAGGTCGTTTTTCCCGGGGAACGACGATCGATCAATCTGTGTGCGTGTGTGTCTGAAACGTCTCGTTAGTTTAAAACTGTTAGTGTTGTAGTTTGAATGTGAACGAGTGACGTGGATTTCGGGGCTTGGGTCCGAAATGCGGGTGTGGGAGGAAAAAAAAACATTCCTCCATTTTTTTCCCCCCTCCCCGGTGTGCTCGCCATGTGACGACGGGTTCAAAGATGTGGAGACAAAATGCCGGCCGGCCGGCGTCTTTGTTCCTCTGCTGGTCAGAAGCAAAATGGCAGCGGCTTAAAATGTGACGCAGAAACAAATCTTAAAAAGGGGGGCAGGCGTGGGTGCGATTCGCACAGGGACGTCGCGGAGCCGAATCTTTTCAGTGCAGGTTGCCGGAATCTCATCTTTAATCTTTTAAAGACGAATCCCCCACCCCCGTGGCACTGTAATGATGGCGCTTACGTGGCCCCGTTGTTTACGCATTTCTCGCCGCCATCTCGGAGAGAGCTTCTGCCGTTTTCGTTGTGTGCGTGTGTGTTTTTGTTTTTTTTACACAAAAAACGTTTTTCCGTCTGTTGAGCTTCCCGTTTTGCCGTCGTTTCAGTTTTGGCGGCGCGCCGCGGTTCGGGGGCAGCCGAGGCGGGGCCCCCCCGGGGAAGAAGTTCGGGAACCCCGGCGAGCGCCTGCGGAAGAAGCACTGGAACCTGGACGAGCTGCCCAAGTTCGAGAAGAACTTCTACAAGGAGCACGCCGACGTGACCCGCAGGACCGCGGTGAGTCGCCCGCACGGGTGCGGCAGCCTCAAGGGGGTGCGATGCGGGTCCTGAGACCGGTGCTGTTTTATCTCTTGATACCCCCCCCCCGGTTAAAAATGATTTAGGACTTGGTGATGAAGCAGTTAGGGATTCCTTGAAGGGAGAAAGTAGGTGTGAAGACTCACCTGCAGGTTCAGTCTCCGTTATCCCCCCCGGGGTGTTTCGCTCCTGTAACTGTCCAGCTGGAAGACTTGCGTAAATGAGAACGTGCCGGACGAGGGCCGCTGGACTGGGCGGCTGTGTGACGCTGTAGCTCTGGAGGGTGGTCAGTTTTTTTTTTCCTCAATGGGCTTATTTTCTTACTGCAGCAAGAAGTGGAGCAGTACAGGAGGAGCAAGGAAGTCACCGTGAAGTGCAGGGATTGTCCAAACCCCATAATGAAGTTCCATGAAGCAAGCTTCCCATGTAAGTCTGAGCCAGGGTGCAAACGGAGCACGCTTCCTGTTTTTGTGCTTCAAAGGTTTAAGTGCATTTGAAGGTGCTTTGAAGTCCTTGTTCAAGTCTAAATCGGTCTTCCTTTTCCAGCCTATGTAATGGACGTGATCACCAAACAGAATTTTACCGAACCTACCCCCATTCAAGCACAAGGCTGGCCGGTGGCGTTGAGTGGGAAGGATATGGTTGGGATTGCACAGACTGGATCTGGGAAAACGCTCTCGGTAAGGTCAATCGTGACGCCTTATAGGAAGGGTTTTAACTGATGTCAAGTCTAGGTGTGGAAGGTGGTGGCAGAATCCTAGGAATGTGCTTCTCGTGTTGGAGATTATGGTAATCCTGTAAAGGTTGGTCACTTGCTCACTGCCCCCATTTGGAACACCGTGCAGCCCATTGTTGATCTGACTCCTGCCCATCCACATGAGTCAATATAATGTAGTCTTTTTCTTTGATTGTAATAGTCCTTAAGTTAACTGAATTCAATTAACTTAACATGTTTATTAAATGCCATGTTCCATAATGTTCAATTTCTTTTGTTGCAGTATTTGTTGCCAGCAATTGTACACATCAACCACCAACCATTCCTTGAACATGGAGATGGTCCCATTGTAAGTGTTTCAGTTTACACAGCGATTTTTTTTTTTTAAAGTGTTAATGTTTCGCCAACCTAAATAAATTCCATCCTATATTCTAATATATTCTAACCCCCTTCTTACAGTGCCTGGTACTGGCTCCAACCAGAGAGCTGGCTCAGCAAGTCCAGCAGGTTGCTGCTGAATACGGTAGAGCCTCCAGACTGAAGTCCACGTGCATCTATGGGGGCGCCCCTAAAGGACCTCAGATCCGTGACTTGGAGAGAGGTATGTCCATACTTGTCTTGCTCGGGTCCGTTGCTGTGGTTTTCACCCTTCTGGGAGCAGATAAAGAGCTCTTCTCCACCTCTTGTAGGCGTCGAGATCTGCATTGCCACACCTGGAAGGCTCATCGACTTCCTGGAAGTCGGAAAGACGAATCTCCGCCGATGCACTTACCTGGTACTTGACGAGGCCGACAGAATGCTTGACATGGGCTTTGAGCCGCAGATCAGGAAGATCGTAGATCAGATCAGGGTAGGTCTTCCCACTCCCGAAGCTTCAAGGTCTTGCTGGGTTAATGCTGGAGACAAATTGACCTTTTTTTTTTTTTTTCCCCCTTCCAGCCGGACAGGCAAACCCTGATGTGGAGCGCTACCTGGCCGAAGGAGGTTCGGCAACTGGCGGAGGACTTTCTGAAGGAGTATGTCCAGATCAATGTGGGGGCACTGCAGCTGAGTGCCAACCACAACATCCTGCAGATTGTGGATGTGTGCAATGATGGGGAGAAGGATGACAAGTGAGTTCCAGAGCTGTTGTTCCTGTTTGAGTTGGGTTGGGACTCCAGACAGACTGGCATCTTGCAGCAGATGTTGTCTTGCAAATAAGCTGGTGCTGGTTGGGCCCCTCCCTTAGCAGCAGATTTAACCTTTTGGAATGGGTGTTTAGCAGTACATTTCCTTGTGTGTATGTAACTATTTGGTGATAGCTGTTCAAGTAGGGAGCTGCATCAACATGCATATAGGCTGCAAAGGAACAAGTAAAGGTTCTTTCAGTGCTGAAAATGGAAGGCTCCACAGCCTCAACGTTTCTTCTCTCTTCAGCATGGAATGATTACCTTTTACTTTTTCCTTGTTTGGTGATACAACCATTGTTTGAATTTTAAAAATGGGAGAACTGGGATTAACCCTCCATTTCACAAATTTTGGAATCTTTCAGACTTCTTCGTCTGTTGGAGGAAATCATGAGCGAGAAGGAGAACAAGACTATCATCTTCGTGGAGACCAAGAGGCGCTGTGATGACCTCACAAGGAGGATGAGGAGAGATGGGTAAATATCTTCAGGGCTGCTTCAAGGCCTCCTTCCCACTGGAGTAACAGTTGAATATAACTTCCAGTTGGTATCTTGTCTGCAAGCACAGAGTTCACAATTTGGCTACAATGAGTGCCTGGTATTTTAGTCCTAGGTGCCCATTGTGCTTTGCTGTATGCAATTGCCATAGGAATGTTAATTCCTTAGTAGATCAGACTGTCCTCAAGGTATCTTTATTTGCTTGCAAGACTTACTGTGGGCTTTTTTTTTCCTTCCAGCTGGCCAGCAATGGGTATTCATGGAGACAAAAGTCAGCAGGAACGAGACTGGGTTCTCAATGGTAAGACTTTAAACTACCAAAGCACAACCTTGTTCTTGGGTGGCTGCCGAGGAGTTTTGGGGTCACCTCATGGGGTTTTTCCTTCTTTCAGAATTCAAGTATGGGAAAGCGCCGATCCTCATTGCAACAGATGTCGCATCCAGAGGTCTAGGTTAGTGTCCCCTTAATAATAGTACCACTTTTTTACATTGATGGTACCACTGTTTAATTTTTTTTAAAGAAAGTGTATTGCTTTCTTTAACTTCTATGCATTTTCTGAGTTTTTCTCACCTAAAGGTGCAGTCTTTGTGGCAGGGCCTAGGCATGACAGTCCCAGGCCTCGAGAGGGGGATGGAGGACTATTGGAAGTGATCGACTGGCTGCCACCCAGTCGAGTAGAGAGGTGACAGCTCAGCAGTGTGCCAGTAATCTTCAAAAGGCGGTGTGGCCAGCCTTATACTCTGTTCTCTGTCCATGGATTTACATGAAATGCCATTCACCCAGCCCTGTTCCAACTCAAACTTGGCCTTTGTGCTGGTCCATGCCTTGCATGTTTGCTCTAGAGCACTATATAATCTTGGTTTGAGATTGGGGGGGGAAGTCTTACTTGTGTGGCTTGTCAAAGCATGGGTGTTTGAAAACAGATGTTAAGCTGTTTCAAAATGCTGGTATTCTCAAAGTGGAGAGAGCAGTCCCACGGCAATTTTATACACCTGTTCTTATAGAAATTTGGTGGCAACTGGCACGCGTTATATTGACAGTGGGACAACTAGTTGAGAGCAGAAGGGGGATAAGAGCTCGCTCTAAATTCCATGATCAATCAAGTTCCTCCCTCGCCTGCGTTTTAAGTCATGTCGAGACCTGCCAACGAGAGACATTTTCTCAAGTGAACACTGGCTTCTTGGAAGATCTTGCCTAGACGAGACTCGAGGGATTTTTTTTCTACTTAGTTCAGGGGTGGACAGGGTTTTTTTTTTTTTCTTGGTCCCCCTCAGTCCTTTTTTGGTCTATATGGTCTTGGCAAGACGAGCAGTGTGGCCCTTATAGCAAGCTTCTAATGAATGTGTAAGGAAAAGGACCTTCAGAGGCTTACGAACTGTAAGGTCCTATATTGGCACATGAGGAGGCACATAGCGGCCCTACTGCGTAGAAGCACCTGGATGTCACTTGACAATTTGTGGGGAGTCGCTGACTTGGGAATGGACTAGTGAATGCATACTCCTTAATGGTAAGAACTCAAACCGTTTTTTCTTTAATTGAATGGGAGGGAGGAAAGAAATCAGGTGGGTTTTTACGGTGGGCAGCAAATGGAGTGTGCATCGTTTCTCTTTTCCCACAGTAGTATTCCCATGGAGTAAAACTTGGTGTGTTAACGGTGTTCTTTGCAGCCCTGCTAGCATCTTGGGTATCCCAGTTTTGCTAACTTGTGTTTTTGGTCTGGCTGTTGTGGTGTGCAAAATCCTGTGCATTCCTTTTTGCCACACTGCAACACTTTACAGATGTGGAAGATGTGAAATTTGTCATCAATTATGACTACCCTAACTCTTCTGAAGACTATATCCACCGCATTGGAAGAACAGCCCGCAGTAGCAAAACGGGCACAGCTTACACCTTCTTTACCCCCGGCAACATTAAACAAGCGAACGACCTCATCTCTGTACTCCGAGAGGCTAATCAAGCCATCAATCCCAAGCTCATCCAGATGGTGGAAGACAGAGGAGGTAATGTTACACATTTCGTTGTTGAGTTTGTGTAGATGTGTGTGTGGGGGACTAGGGGATATCTCATGTCAAGTATGTTTTGTGTGCCTGCTGTTTCCAGGCACCGCAAAAGTTTGATGTACATGCACAACGTTGGTATGCAGTTAAATTTCACCCAATTCTGTATAAGAGGTGGAGGGACCACACCCCCTGCAATTTTCTGTTCTGGCCTTCTGTTTCGAATGGTCAGGTGTGCTGGACGTGAGCACCATCGCTTGCTTCAGCATCCAGGGTCTCCTGGTGAACCTATAAATGTGCCTGTCCAGAGGGCACATTTAACCAAGTCACTTCTCATTCCTGTTCATCTTCTCTTGCAGGTCGTTCCAGAGGTAGAGGTGGCTTTAAAGATGACCGTCGGGATAGGTATTCAGGAGGCAGGAGGGATTTTGGTAGCTTTAGGGATAGGGATAACGATGATAGGGGATTTGGCAGTGGACCAAAGAAAGTCTTTGGCACAAAGACACAGAACAGCGGCTATGGGGGAGCCAACTTTGAGAACAGCAACACCTTTGGGAACCTTGGGAATGGCTATGGCACTAATGGACAGTCGAGTTATGGTGCTGGCAACCAGGCGGGTTCCTTTGGGAATCAGAATTTCCAGACTACACAGTTCGGAGCAGCCAATCCAGGTGCCGCCCAGAATGGCATGAGTCATCCACAGTTCCCTTTCAACCCCCAACAGCAGCAGCAGCCTCAGCCGCCACCACCCCCACAGCCCATGGTGACCTACCCCATGCCCCCAGCATTTCCGCAGTAAAACTGCACTCGACACATGTAGGAGTAATTTATTGAGTTCTTGTCCTGGTTGTACATTCAAACATTCTCGATCTGCAATTGTACTTTTTTATTTTTTTTACAACAGGGTTGAAACTAACATTCTATGCCTCTTTAAACAAAACCATAAGGAGTCTGCAGTGCAGCAGTAGTAATGGTGCACTTTTTTTTTTGCTTTATTTAATTTTACATTCCTCAGATGTAACTTTAGTTTTTTTTTGTACTAGGTGATGCAAACCTTTTTTGATTTATTGCTGTAAATGTTTAAAGTGTTATGTTCGAATCTTAACTGAAGGCAGAGCATGGCCTGTCCAATAAACCATCTAAAAACTTGTATTTTTCATTGTGGTCTTAATTGAGTGATTGGGATGGGGGGAGGTCTTGGCATGGTGTTCATAGAGGAACAGTGTAAGCCTTGAGTCTTCAGCTTCAGAATTTGACTTTCTAGGTCTTATTAATGTACCTGGACAGCTGGAGCCAAGATGCTTTCAAGTTTAGAGTAGGCTTGGACTTCATGCTGGAAGCTGCAGCTTTGCTTGGTGCAAGTATGAAGCAAGGGCTTGCAGCTGAGATGTAGGAGAGCTCCACTAACATTGCCCTATGTACTGGCCTACTCCCTGTGAAAGGTTCAGGTGGGCCTTCTATATGGAGTATGATAATGATGTTAATCCGTGGGCTTTGCAGATGTGCGAGCAAATGTCCATTACCCAGCAGTCAACAAGATCCTCTGCTCAGAAACATTTCACACCCCTATTTTCATGTTGCTGTTTTGGGAAAGGCTGCTAGTGATTGAGCTACTACTCTAGTTTATATGGAGAGAGTACTGATGAGTATGAAAAGGAGGAAGAGGTTTCTAGCCTTGGGATCTTTTAAAGTGAAGGCCGGTTGGACATCTGCTAAACGGGTTCCACACGGGCGTTATCTCGGGTGGTCGTACAGAGAGATGCGGCTCCGGACGGCTCTTTAAAGGCAAAGCTTCCTCAGTTTATTCTGCGATAAAGCAGGGAGGCTGCTGTTGCAGAACTGCCGCTGTGTCAGCCCGGCAGCGGCTGCACTGCGGGAGTGGATCCGTCCCTGTGCAGAAAACGGTGTCGGACAACCATACAATAAAAAACTAAATTGATGTGCGGCTTTGGGACACTGACCGCTGAAGGCCTGTTCTGAAACACTCGTGCTACAGCAGGGGAGAAGAGACTCCACCGCACAGTCATGACACTTCTCCAGCGCTTTTTATTGAGAATGGAAAATTACCTGGGAAAAAAAAGGTCCACCGGAAGAGCCCAGGAGCCAGTCAATCAGTGAGCGATTCTGCAAGACCGCGAGAACTACGCAGTAGGCAAGCATGTATGAAGTAAAGGAAATTAAAGCGCAGCTGAGCCTGGCGCCTACGGAAAATGCTGCCGTCGGTCACCGTGTATGACAGACTTATTAAACATCAAATAAATAGAGGAAAGGAGGTATCCGAAAAAGAAAAAAATTACAACACTACGCTGCCAGAGGCAATTACTCAGAACACAAACTTAAAATTTCCACAAAGAAGTGTTTTTTTTGCCTTGTTTTTTAAGTTTTGAGTTGAAGGAATATTTCCAATTTAAAAGTATTAAAGGGGAGAGTAGCCATTTTGGTTTGTGAATGTGATATATACGCAGAATTACTAACAGATTCATTATAAATCAATGTTTTTTTCCATTTTAGATCCTGTAAAAACTAATTGAATCTAACATTTACATTTAAATGCTCAAAGATTAAGTTTTGCAAATTCAAAATATAAATATAAATAAAATATTCAAAACAACTTTGTATATAAACAGGTACCAAATAAATGCCAGATTATTTTCAAACCTTACAAAACACACGTACCTGTAAATGGTCTTGCTCATGTTGGAATCTAGAAAGTGTTCATTTAACGGGATAAAACCTATGAACAAAACGAACAATTTCAAGTGTTCATTATTTAACCTTGTTTGTAAGTTAATTCCTGCAGCATGTCCAAAATATTTTCTAGTTAAAATGGTCGAATGTTACAATGTTGGAGGATATACAGGGAGGTTTACACATAATCCTTATATGGTTACTATTGCATTTTCATCTTTCATTTTCCAGTTAAGAGCTGCCTTTGAAAAAAAATCCCCACTTTCTCGGGGGTAGCATCAAAGACCACGGCTTGTCGGTATTAGAGACTTGTCAAAGGTCACATGACGACCCGATGGCAGCGGAAGCGATTCTGCGCCCTCTTCGTGGGCATCATGGGCGGTGTAGCGGTAAGCCTGCCCTTCCAGTGCTGGCTTTCCCAGGAGACTGATACAGATTTTGTTTGTTTGTTTTTTTTTAAATACTTTGATTATTTCGCATTGCTCTTCCCAGCAGGCGCAAGCCATGGCAGCGGGCTCACATTAATAGTCAAAGACATACTGGCACGTTATCACATACATAAAATGAAGCGGTCAGGGAGGTACCCTGTGTTTGAGTATTTTAAAGTGGAAGTAAAGGGGTATTTGCAGACTATTTCGAAATGCAAAAATATGAAAGCGGTGCGGACATTATTTTTATTTCATTTGTTGAACCTTTTTTCATAACTTGAATTTTATGTAGTAGTATGTACCCCTGACGATATTTTTGTTTTGAATTGTTCTATGTACTCTTGTTTGTATTGTAATTTTTTGTTCTTTTGTTAAGCATAAATAAAAAAATTAACAGTCAAAGATGCGTGGTTCGCACACGTAACACGTGTATCATCTTAACCGCAGGGCGAGCAAGCTCCCCGTTTAACTTCCGGTTTACGTGCGGCATGTTTTGCGATCAGTCTCTCTTTAACAGCGTTAAATTTCTTTAATTTCGAGCGTGGCTATTTTATTTAAAAAAAAGAAACCCGAGACGTTCGGGTACTTCAGTACCGTTGGTAATGTTTTACGTATCGTCGCGGTTATATTTAAGTATTTCGACATTAGCGTTGTAAACTCTTCATGAAACTGCTGCGATTTTTGCCTCCTGTGTCCAGTTCGTTAATACAAGTTAGCTCCGTTACTGCCTGGGGATTGAGCGTTGCAAGAGTCGTGTACTGCAATTCATAACGGGAACAGTAATGGCGAAAAAATTAGCTAGCTACTAAATCCAAAGGTTGGGTTTGTTTTTCTGTACGTCTGTATGGGTGCCCCGGTACTTTCCCTATCCACGTTTGCAACATTAGTATCTTCAAAGACGCCTGTGGAAGTCAAATATATTTTGATGTGGGACTATTGGGGACAGAACAATGCATACTTCGAGGGCCACCCAGACGTACTGCGTCAGGCAGTACTTTTGCACCAGGAGGAGGCGACTGAGGACTGTGATGCGTGAGCCTCTTTTCTTCCCGGGACAATTCTGCACCAGCCCCAGGGAAGACCCCGACCACACCAGCGCCCTGAGACAGCTGTGCGCATCCCGGCACTTCATAGCGGCGGACCGCCTGGACGGGGACTCCCTTCGGAGGGGTAACCACAGCTACGGGCCCCTGGGGACGCAGCTGAAGAAGAACATCCTGGAGCACTGGTGGGGCTCCGTGGTGATGTCCCGGGCGCAGGTGTTTGGGATCAGCACCCTGCACCAGCGCCGGGGCAGCCCGACACCCCGGGAGCGGGCTCTGAGGCTGGTGGACCGGGACGCCCTGCTGTCCGCGCTGCGCCAGGAGTCTCTCGGCAGGCAAGAGCTTGTAGAAGCCGTGGAGAGGAGCCTGACTGACGGCGTACCGGTGCGCAGCAGTCTGCTTGAAGGTACCTGCGTGCCTCTGTGTCTTCAGCGTTAAGCAGAAAGGAAT